TGCAGTTTGTGTAGGCACATATGGTAATACACACAGCCATTAGAAGACAACCTGTGCACAGAGAAAGTGATACAAAACGAGAGGTGGGAGAATGGGAGTCTCTTGTGGTCTCAGAAAAAGAAAGTTTAAAGAAAGTCATGTTAAAAGAAGCAATTATTTAGAGGACAATCACCCAGAGACATTCGCCCCTCACCATCATTGGAATGGGCAAGTTCTATGACTGTCTGCATCTTTGGAAAAGGAAAGGCTACAATGGCAAGGACAGATCTTTTGTACACTCTTAAAACTGATGGTACTTTTCTAAGAACCTTTAAAGAAAATGGTTCTGTATATACAGGATGATTCAAAAAGACTCATCCAATTTCAAAATGATTTATTTCACTTGTAAATCATTACAGATCAATGCAGTAAACTGTAAATGGTTTAAATGAGCATAAAGTTTATGTAATTTTACAAGCGCTCAGTATGAACCTCTTCCAGCTGTATGGACATCCTCAACGCCATGGTCAAATTCATCCCATACTCGATCGACCATGCCGGGGGTCGCTGTACTCACGGCTCTTTCAGTGCCATTTCGGAGATCATCCAGTGTTGTGGAACCAGCGACGAACGCTCTGAGCTGCTGGAGGTTCACTGCCGACGAATATCACGTTGCAAAACGAATGCAAAACGCTTTCTGCTCAGGGGTCTCCATCTCCTCACAGCCTGAAGGGAGCCATCTTCTGGTGACAGTCAGAAACTCTATGACCACCTCTTTCAATTGGTATGTGATTGGTTCCTAGGTACCTCATGGTTGTAAAAATATGGCGATTTGAAATCGGATGAATGTTTTTGAATCACCCTGCATTCGCATAATCTAAGGGTTCCTTGCATTGTTAAATGGCTATTCAGATTGATGGAAAATGTGCTGTAAATGGTTCTATATAGAACCAGTCTGAAAAGGGTTACAGCACAAAAGAGTTCCTTTATTGTTTCGATGTCAAGCCTGTAACAATAGAAGAACACTTGCTGGTGCTATATATAACTTTTCAAAACGGTTCTGTGTAGAACCACATAACATTCTCCATTCATCTAAAGAACGCTTTCAGGATGCAAAGAACCCCTTTATCATGCAAAGAGCTCTGAGCGTTCATGATTCTACACAGAACCATTTTCTTTACTAAAGAACCAGTTCACACTATCACCTATTCCACTGAGCAGAAAGTAAGGCAGCACTATGTAATATTTTTGTTAAAACTGAAAGAACAGCATTACAGAGTCAGGAGAATAGAGAACACACTAAAATATGGTGTGAATGCACAGCCTTGAGTCACTCTGTACAGCCTGAAATAACTATTTAAAAGTCAGAGGTACCGGGATGGATTTGGCGGGACCACGTCATACGTTTTTACATATTAACGTCTCGTGCACAGGCTCAAAAAAGGGTCAGACTCGATGTTCTGATCTCAAATGCAAAATCAACATTATACTGAGGAAGAGTTTTGGCCAAGTTCTCTTTGAATACTCTTTTGACGCACTTGCAAAAGTCAGATTCATCCACTTGTGGGGGTCTACAGCACGACCAATGTTCTTCCACCCATTGTGTGCAATTACATATTTACACCAGAGAGGTCTCCAAATCCCTAAACCCTACATAGTGTTGCTTTAAAGCAGGGGTGCACAACTCTGGTCCTGGAGGGCCAGTGTCCAGCACAATTTGTTAGTTCCCCTCTCAAACACACCCACTAAACCTGGCAATTAACAGAAGTGTAATCAGGTGTGTTTGAGCAGGTAAATCACCAAACTTTGCTGGACATCGGCCTTCCAGGACTGCACCATGTACATAGGATATGATGAAATCCTGAACAAGCAAATTAGGTGGATTACAATAACCAGAACTCTGGTCTGGGATTTTAAATAAATCACTGCCTGTAGAAAAATGTTCAAGATTTCTATGTGGGACATAATCCAAGACTGGAAGCCAGTGGAGGGATAATCAGTGAGGAAGTGTGGCTCAACCAAGCACTTCAACTCAGTAACGCATTTAAAAGCTTTACCACATCTGTTCGAGAGTAAAAACAGAAGATAGGAACATCTGCACAACCGCAATACAGAATAAACTAAAAATGTAACTGTAAAAAAGCATCACATCATTCAGCTTTTCCAGCTGTAATCTAAACATCTTTGTACTTTGTGGGAACGTATTGGCTTCTGTTCACACAAGCCTTCCTGCTAATTTCTCAGGATGTCTCATGCAGGTAAAGTGCTGTGCCAACTTCATTGGGATTTTGACTCCAGCTTGTATTCATACTTCACCACTTCATGTCTAACTACTGTTACATTTCTAGGTAAACGTGCATGTGTGAAAGGGGCTATTACAGTAGACATATGACGCAAGACATTCAAATGATTCAATCAAGACAGAAACCATAATCAGCCTGCAGTCGCTCACAGATGAGGGATGAAGCATTTGCCCTAAAGGACAGAGTCAGAACTGAGTGTTCCGAGTGAGAAATCTGTGACAAATCTTTGGTGACAACCTGCCTGCAAAAGAGTTGATCAGGGCTCAGGACAAGCAGGCAGTGGACAGCTTGGACGAAGGGAATTTCACCTGAAGTACAAGGAAATCAAACAAAATGTTCCTCTCTTCTATCTCTAATGGCTTGACATCAGAAAAGGCGACAGTCAAAGATGATAAAGGAAATAAATGTCTTGAGTTAGTCATGCAACAAACAGAAGAACGGCCCATGTTTTGGGAGTGCAAAGTGGCAGCGGTGACCTGTGGTCGCCTGAACTTTTGACAGATGATTTATCGCAGTGTCCTTTTGATAGCACGCTACAAACACTGGGAACGTGTTGGCTAGGCCTCATCATGGCAGAGTGGACCTTCATCTTGGAAAGAGGCAGAGAAAATGGACATGACGGAGGACATAGTCACCCAGCATGAATTTATGGACAAAAAGGAGAAATTAAAAAACAGCAAAATTACACAAACTACAATTCATTGTGCGCCAAGGACTAAAATATATTACTTGCATCAAACAACCCGCTTGCCGCTGCAACCCAGCTAATCATGAAGCAATAGAGCAAGGAAAATTGGACCAAGAATAAAAGACAATTGGCTGCCTTGACAGAAAAGGGGGAAGAGGCTGGAAAAACAACTGAACAGAAAGCACCCAATCAACACACACAAAATGCCACAGCCACTCTCGACAAGAAAATTACTTGTCCAGTTTCTAACGACTGCAGTTCTCCGAGTGCCAAGGGCTAAAAGAGCAAAATAGGCCAGGTTTGCTTCAACCATAGGGTTATGGTGTGTGAAAGTTCTTCCCACGTGGAAAGGAAGCATAGTTACAATTCAACACAAGTAATCCTTCCAGCCACTCGAGAAGTTTCTTTAATTTAAGCCTAATAAAGTCAACATTGACTATAGGCTATATTTGAAAAAAATATTTCAAATAATTCTAGTAGAATTCTAGTTTTGGCCTGGGGCAGTGTAGGTCATCTTTGTGCAGGGCACACAACCCTGTAAGCAACCTCAAACTATGCTTCCCATCTATCTGAGCCAGGGCTGTGGGAACAGACTGCAGCAGCAGAGTGAAGGTCCCGTCCTCATATTCAGCATCTCCTCAGTATAGCTGTCAATAGACCCTGTCCTTGTAACTTCCTACCTCTTAAATTTGAGCCAAGCCCTTGTTCTGCTGTCCTTTTAAAACTATGCTGAAACTTCCAGAAGTCTGTAACATTCTTGGTATAGCTGCAGAGGTCACTAAGGGAAAAAAGAGAAAAAAAATAAAAAAAGAGAAATAAGAGAAAAACAACTGTCTATAACAATAGCATACAGATGGCAAACATCTTAGCAATTGAAATGGTCATATCAAGGCAATATAATATTTTTTGTTCAACAACTACCTTTATCATTCTCTCTTAAATGTCACCTTATTCTAAGCAATTTATGGCATAAAACAAGCAGAGTCACTGATCAAGTTATCATTACTGTGTCGATGGTTATGTTGAATCATGGCTTTTTCGCTTGTTTCAGCCTCCTATTACACTGCCTCGCTGTGAGGATTTTGAGACAGCATTTGAAGTTATTTGAAAGCCTTTTTAATACTGAGCTGAGGGGTTTAAGCTGTTTAAAATTTCTTGCCAGAATTCTCAAAGGCAGCCTGGTTAACACACACATGGTGTATTCGGGCGCAATCCAAAATTAATAAAAGATGAAAGCAAAATTCTGATTCGTAGTTCAGATCTTATTGTACATGAAAACAACTTTTGATGCTCCTCATGTTCAAAATGCTGTTTAAATACTTTCTAACTGATTTAAGATATTTAGGGTGATGCAAAGAACTAGATATTACTACTTATTTCAAGAAAAGCAAATATGGCTTTCTTTTCACCTCACTTTCAATATATTTTCCCTTTCTTTATGAAAGGCTTTCTTGCAGTGCAGTGGTTTGAACAATAGCAAAATCCAACACATGGAGATTGCAGGACTGAAAACACAATCTCAACCTTTAATGAAAGTTAATGCAACAAGATTTTATTACAAGTACTCCTGAGCAATTTCTATTGGTCCATTCATCTTGAAATGAGCATGAATTGAAACAGCTTGCTTAGGTTTTCTTAAGCAGCATGAATCTTTAATTTAACAGAGCAAACACAGTGACTCCCCCACACTGAGTGCTAAGCTATACAACACTTAGGTTAGCCTTCTAACAGGAAGCCAAGAGGTGGGTTTACATCCTAGTTTTAAGTTTCCCCATCTCCAATTTAAAACGGGAACAAATGTACAGCAAAAGGAGACACAGGAAAGAGAAAGAGGTAACAGCAATATGGAATGGGACAATATATATATATATATTTACAGCTGAGAGCAGATGACGAACCAACAGAGATTAAACTTTAGAAAAGAAAACAAGCAACAAAAACAAAATCTTGTGCAGTCATTCAAGTGTATTTAATGAGAAAATGTTCTTGCTCAAGTTAAACATCTGAAAATAATATTCAAAATTTTCTTAAGTGTATTCATAATGGGATTTATTTTCTGAAAAAAAAACCCTTATAACTGCTCAAAATGAGCAGTTTTTTTAAGTTAATCAATTTTGCATGACCTTTAAACAAGCAGCTGCAACATAGGAAAGGAACGTGTCACTGCCATGAAAACTTGTGAACTGCATATTACAATACATATTACAAAGAGCACCTCTGTGTGTATACATGCGTATGCGTGTGGAGATCAGGTGAAACCCAGTTTAGAGACAGATGAAGGGGAGATGAGGTGAGAGCTAAATGGGCCATCAGTGGCTGTCTAACCATGAGCAAAGTCCACGCTCAACCAGAAGCCCATTCACCGAAATCATCTACAGCAAGACAGGAGAGACAGTCATTATTCAGTAAGGAACTCCATAGTTTTCAAAATTTCAGCATAATAAAATCACCGATGTAAACGATGTTCAGAGTGGTCTGATGTGAAATGACGTATTGTAGAGAAACTTGCTTCTTTACCATGTAAAAAGGTAAAAGGTGATAGAAACAAATGTCAAAGACGTTTGAAGCCAAAACTCGCAAAACTGTCGTAAAACAATGTCTCTGGCATCAGACAACTTACCTGTAACCATTAAATGTAATGGCTTTCTGTGAGGTAGGTTTAAACTCGTCAGACGTCTGGTTCCCATCACTATCACTATAAACAATTCTGTATGTTTCTCTGCAATGAAGCATTTCACACCAAACCACTCCAACTTGCTTTGAATGGCTGTGTTTGCATCTTGACCATTCTTTTATGCAGAAATTTTAAACTATCTGTGGCATTGCCCCTTTAAGTGCAATACAACTATTTATAAACAAATTAATGTGCATTTAGGAGCAATGCAGCCACAAACTATGTAAATACGCAGATAAATACTTTTAAAAAGACAACCATACGTAGATATAATCATCCATCATATTAATCCCATTATGAACTGCATTTTATACCATTGTAAAAATCTCATCTCTTGACCAAATATACTAATCAGCCATAACATGAAAACCACCTCGTTGTCCATTTTAACAGCTTAACTTTCCATATAGGAGCACTTTGTAGTTCTACAGTTACAGACTGTAGTCAGTCTGTTTCTTTGCATACTTTATTGGCCCCCTTCCACCCTGCTCTACATTGGCCAGGACCCCCAAAGGACCACCACAGAGCAGGTATGATTTGTGGTGGATCATTCTCAGCACTGACGTGGTGGTGGTGGTGTTAGTGTGTTGTGTCTGATCCACTCAAACCAACACAGCAGTGCTACTGGAGTTTTAAACACCCTCAGTGTCGCTGCTGGACTGAGAATAGTCCAACAACCAAAAATATCCAGCCAACAGCGTCCTGTGGGCAGCATCCTGTGACCACTGATGAAGGACTAGAGGATGACCAACACAAACTGTACCGGCAAGGAAAGAGCGTCTAATGATCCACCCAAATAGTACCTGCTCTGTGAGGGTCCATGTCTGTTCTCTGAACAAAACCTTGCATCTCCGAAATGAGAACTTCACAGGAGAAGGAAAAAACATACTCTACTTTTAATGTAATGTCAATGGAACCAGAATTTTTTTTACAAGTAACTTTGGGTCATTTCTTTTAGCCCATTCATCATGAAATTTATAGACAATGCATAGGACAATGCATACTTTCAAATTATGTCAAAAATGGATACACAAGGTTTTGTTCTAACAGCAGTGATATAGGACACTTGACAATTTTACAAATATGTAATATAACAACGTAACGAATACAGACCTCCTCTCCTGCCTGCCGCCACATATGCACCAAGGGCAGTCCACTCTGACTGCCTGTGACCTAAGAACAGAGCACAGAGCGACCCGCAGGTTTAACTGCCTTTCTTTAGGCGCGAGTGAGTCAGCCTCCCCACTGAGGAAATGATTAAAGCGCTTCTTCCCACCCACAGATAACCACTCAAAGCTGAAGGAGCCCAACTTTAGACAAAACTTTCCCCATTGATCTCAAAGTACTAGAACAATCTGTGTAAAACACTCAAACAGGATGGAACTTTTTTTCCCCATGGAAAAATGGTGTGAACCCTGCTTTCATTCAGGGATCAAAATGAAAAGAATGAATCAAAATGTTCACCAGATCCATTTCTTACCTTTATGATTAAAGGAACCCCTTGTGTTAATTCTTCAAGAGCTTCTTTGGCCTCGAGTGAAAACTCCTCCTTGCCTGAGACATCAAACAAATGGCATTCTGAGACTACAGCGAGGCAAGTCTGATTTGACCCAAATGTGTTTCAATTATAGGGCACATCATTTGTATTTGGTGCCACCCAAAAATATTTGGACAGTGTAATCACATTTCTAGAAAAGAGAGGCACGAGCATGCATGGTCAATCCAAAAGACATGGATGCTATGGAATAACTAGGAATAAAAGGAAGCAGTCTATACTTTGACCTCATATCCATCTTCCCATTTTGTACTAATTATGCTCTAGTTCGTGGGCAAAAACTATCCAGAATTTCACAGTGCTTACGGAGGACACAGTATTACGTTTTACCTGGCAAAGGTGCAATATTTTCTAACATAACTTCAGACCCTTGGAAAGGCAATGCCACAAAGTCTGATCTGTGAAAATAATCAAAACAACGTTAAGGTATTTTTTTGCCAAGTTTCCAAGAAAAATGAAAGGTGAAAGTTTAAAACAAACCCAAAGCAAAGAAAGAGCGAACCTTATCTGTCTGAGGGCACTGAGGTTAACCGTAACGTAGCCACCGTAGTCCACGTATCTGATCTGTACGGTGTCGGAGTCTTTGTAGTGCTGGATAACCTGAGCCCTCCACCAGGCCCCGTCTGCAGAGGGGGCTGCACATACCACCCCCGCTGAGAGAGAGAGAGACACACAATTACTTCATGATATCACACTGATGTGTGTCCATGTGTTCGTTTTTGTACATTTTCAGGGTGCAAATGTCCTGACATTGTAGGACAACCAGAGAAAAAAAAAAAATGAGGCACAACTACAGAAAAAAAAAAATTGCAAAATAAAGTGATTTTAACAAAAGCTACATTTCATTTTTAATGAAAAAGGCAAACACTTCTTTTTGACTACCGAAGCAAATGGAAAAAATGTAAATAACCTAGCAGTGGTTGCTAAGTCATACATTTATTACACCACATAATGGTGTAGTTTAAGTAGGGGGGGAAAAGAAACACCACAAACACACAAACCAACAACACATCCAGAAATCAGAACCATATTTAACAACTGAAGCAAATCTAAAATATTTTTAATTGTAAAAGAGTAAAAACAGAACTGAACAATATACAGGTAGTTGTTTCATGGCTACATGGAAGGAGATCTGGGACTGCTAGGTATTCTTGGCATGCATAAATTTAAAGGTTACAACATAATGAATATCTTAAAGAATTTCAAACAGTTTACAGGATGAAACAGTATATTGCCCATTACTAGTGTAACCCCATGTTCTGACAGTATAAAACAGCAATGTGTGTGACTGAACTGAATTCAGAGGTGTAAAACAAAGTATTGGCCAAGAAGGTACCCATGTGAGAAGCTGTGTGAAACAGGACATGTGAAACATTTGATAACGTCAGAAACTGAAGGTGAGAAATGAGAGAGTATGTGTGGAAAACCCAACAGGAAGGGGTATGTGTGAGAACAAACTGAGGTTTGAACACAGGTTGCGTTTGTGTTTATGAAGGGAGCTTCTTGGCACCGTCTACCTTCTACTGGAGTGGGCAGGCTGGGGCATCCCGGGTAGGAGTAGCAGAAGAGCATCTGTTCATTGAGGCTGCGTAGGGCGTAGTAGGTGGGGTGAGTGTGCTGCTGCACGAACAGGTAGTTCGGTGCCTCGACTCGTGGCACGATTACCTCCACTGGACGGTCCTGAGGTAGCAACAGCTACAAACACGAAAACACACATACTTCATAACGGGTCTTTATCCTACAAGAAAAATGTGTAAATTTACATGCAGCTTTCCCTAAACTTACCAGCCATTTCTTTAGAAATCCCTACAGCAGTGGTGACCAACCATAGCCCCAGTGATGTACCTTCCTTGAACCTTGGTTACAACTACAGTCTGGCACACTTGCTTCAGCTAATTAACTTATTCAAAAGTACTTCACTGGCTGGATCAGATGAGATAGTGTGGGAGGTGAGTGGCATGTTAGATGCAAGCTGAAACTAAACAGGGAAACATCTTCTAGCCCTTCATCAGTGGTCAGTTTCTGATCACACAGCCACTCCTGGCTGGACATTTTTGGGTGGGGTAGAGGGCAGCTGACATTGTGCACGACAAAGGCTACAGTCTTTGATCACACACCCATGTAATGGAGCTATAAGGTAGCTGGAGCTCATGAAGTGGCCAGTGAGTGATACGCATTTCTATCTGATAAACAGTGTATCTGGCAGTCACTTACCCAGGAGGTGATGGGGAGCGAAGGAAGAGGCTGTACATGGCATCGGCGGTTGCTCAAATCCAAATCTTTAAACTTCTTTCTGATTAGCGTCAGTGCGTTTTCCACCTGGACTTTTGTCCCTGAGAGGGTCAAAACACCATAGCATTAGTAGATCTGTTACTGCCACCCAGTGGATGATGGGAGTCAATACTTCTGGTGACTAACACTAGGACAGGGGTGTCTTATCCACAAAGGGCCGGTTTGGCTGCAGGTTTTCATTCCAATAAGGCAGGAGCACACATGATCAATACGTACAAGACTGACCAGTTGATTAAGCAAGTGGAATAAGGTGTGCTCTACATGTTTGAAATGAAAAGCTGCAGCCACACTGGCTCTTTGTGGATAAGACTGTTCAACCCTGCACTGGGACATCCAGACCAGCAATTTTCAGAGTAGAAACAGGGCAGCCTTGTTATCAACTATCAGCATAGTTTATGTCTAGACAGCACAGTGAAATGATAAATTCTTTCTACCCCGGCTAGATTTGTGGGGTGAGCACAGTACCAACAGAAAACACATACACTATATGGACAAAAAGTATTGGGACACAGCTCTTAATCATTGTTTCATTCAGTTCAATTGCTACAGGTGTACAAAAACAACCACATAGCCATGCAGTCTGCCTTTACAAATATTTGTGAAAGAATGTGTCGCTCTAAAGAGCTCACTGAACTCGAGCGTGGTGCTGTAATAGGTTGCCACCATTGCAACAAGTCAGATTGTGAAATTTCTTCCCTCCTAGATATTACACGATCAACTGTGAGTGGTATTATAGGGAAAAAAGGAAACATTTAGGAACCACAAAAACGCAGCCACAAAGTGTCAGACCACATAAAGTTACAGAGCGGGTCGCCGAGTGCTGAGCAGCTTAGTGCATAAAAGTCGCCAACGCTCTGCTGGCTCAATAACTGCAGAGCTCCAAACCTCCTCTGGCATCAACATCAGCACAAACACTGTGCGCCGGGAGCTTCATGGCATCACCAAGCACAATGCCAAGCTTTGGGGGGAGTGGTGTAAAACACGCTGCCAGTGGACTCTCGAGCAGTGGAAATGTATTCTGTGGAGTGACTAATCATGCTTCTCTATCTGGCAGTCTGATAGACGAGTCTGGGTTTGGTGAATGCCAGGAGAACGTTACCTGCCGGACTGCACTGTACCAACTGTAAAGTTTGGAGGAGGAGGGATAACGATGTGTGGTTGTTTTCAGGGGTTGGCCTAGAACCCTTAGTTCCAGTGAAGGGAAATCTTAACACTTCAGCAGAACAAGACATTTTGGACAATTATACTCTTCCAACTTTGTGGGAACAGTTTGGGGAAGGCCCTTTTTTGTTCCAGCATGACTGAGCCCCAGTGCACAAAGCAAGGTCCATAAAGGCCTGGCTGGGTGAGTTTGGTGTGGAAGAACTTGACTGGCTTGCAGAGCCCTGACCTCAACCCCATCGAACACCTTTGGGATGAACTAGAACGGAGATTGCGAGCCAGGCCCTCTCGTCCAACATCAGTGTCTCAACTCACAAATGCTCTTCTGGATGAATGAGCAAAAATTCCCACAGACACTCTCCAACATCTTGTAGAAAGCTTCCCAGAAGAGTGGAAGCTGTTATAACTGCAAAGGGGGGACCAACACCATATTAATGCCTATGGATTTAGACTGGGATGTCACAAAAGCTCCTGTAGGTGTCCAAATACTTTTGTCCATATTATTTAATATATATATATATATATATATATATTTATATATTTTTTTTATGATGCGGTAACTGATTAGACTGGCTGTCTAAAAAAGCCTTGAGAAGTTAATGTGTATTAGCAATTCAAATAAGTCCATGTTAAAGCTTGTCAGTAAGAAATTAACCAGCATTCTTTGTATAAGTGATCACCCTTTCCAGCTCTAGATGCTTACAGGATTTTCAAAAACTAATGGAGCACAGTCTCTCCTCAAATCTGTCTAAGAATCAGCAATGAACTACAATAAACTAGAAGACGTTTATTAACTAGAACATTACATTAATAAGCCCTCGGGAGTCAACTCACCCTCTATATGACAGATCTGTAACTCATGAGTGTAAGGCAGAGTAGACACATACATCTTCGCACCAGAGAGTTGCTTCAGGAAGCCAATATGCTTCCCTTGTTTTCCAATTAATCGCCCGACAAGGTGCTGCCAAAACAAGGTTTTTACACCATTAAAATCCAATATTTTAAATCATTTAGTACAAAAACTGCTGTGTACCAAGCGAGTGGGTCTTGACTAGCTGAAACATTCATCACTGTGCATGTCAGCATGATTAAAATGACAGGTACGAACAATCACAGGATAAACAGAATAAGACCTATCAGCAGCACGTAATAGGTGTAATTCTTAGCTTTATGCAGTAAACCTGCATATCGCTGCTGTATCTACAAAATAGTAACTTTACAGGAGAAGGAAAAAACCTTCTTTACTTTTAATGTAAGAAAATGGAACAACACTTTTTTCAAAGTCATTTTGAGCCGTTTCTTTTGGTCCATTTGTTATGAAATTTACACACAGCATAAAGGGCAACAGGCATTCTCAAATTATGTCAAAAACTGAAAAATATGAGGTTTTGTCCCAACAGCAGCAATATCTTTCCAACAGAAATAGCCCTTAGGCACTCAAAATGAACTTAGCTGTTAACTGATAAATCCTGCTTTGTGAAGACCCACCTAAAGGAAAGTAAAGCTAAATCTCCACTTACAAACCCACCTGTGTCTTATGTAACTGTTTCAGTGTCACCCTAACACTTAATTAGGCTACTCTACTCAATGCAAAACAGAGAAACTCCAAATTGCTACCATCTTGTTCACCTGAGCTCATGTACAGTCATTAGGAATATTTTATGTAATTATCTGCAATCATTTGCCACATTCAGTTAACTAATCCCCAGGTCACTATGTTCAAACAGCACTGGCTATAAGACACATTATGGTTATAATAGCATGGGCTGGATACTAGGCTCACCGCTGGCACTTCTATGTCCCAGAGGGTGAGGGCTGAGCTTGGGCACTCAGTTTCGCTGCTGTCGACCCTGTTCTCTCCATTCATGCATGTTACATCGTTAGCACCTGTACCAGAGGACAAGATGGCCCTAAAAAGATTACATGAGTAGATGTCCACTCCATGCCATTTTAGGCATTTAACCCAGGAACAAAGTCACAGCCATAACAAAAACTTTTCTTCACTTAAGAGAAATATGTGGAAATAGTGATAGCGATAGGAACCAGGGGTCACGATTTCCACAATGCAAATATTCATCCATTTAATTTATTGATCCAAAACGACCGGCGAACACGTGTCCAAGTTTTGTTTGTAATGTTGATAACAGTAAAATACATGCCAGGTCAACACTCTGCATGTATCTCTCAGGCATAGATAGCTTTGGGGTTTTTTCTTCCTTTAAGTCTTCTCAAAGCTATCATAAAACAATGTATCAGGAATCAGGCAGCATATTTCTAAACATGTCACATAAAGCTACAGCACAGAAAGCTGTTTAGTGGTATTAAACCATTTGGACATCTGGTTCCTCTCACCACCATTGAATAATTCTGAGCGTTTCTCTAGAATGGAGCATTTCGCATCAGACCTCTTAACGACCTTCACGTCCTAATTATGCAGAAATTCCCCTGTTCGTTTCTTTTACCATTAAAGTAAATGATGGTACTATTTTGCAAGGTTTTGTTATGACTGCAAAGCAATGTTACACATATTCACTTGCAAAAACACTCTGGATGCAATTAAAAGAAATGGCACACAAACCAGTATTTTAAAGGCACATGCAACTAATGGTGTTAAAGCTGGTCAATTTCCACAAATAGCAGAACTGAATGGAAACTAATTAAAATAGGTCTGCAAAATTGATAAAAGACTAACCTTTTGAGGCGTCTGCATTTTGTCTTGGGAGTTTTCCATTTCCTTCTTCCGTGCCATGGTGAATTTCTTGATTTTTACTTTCAGAAGCTTCTGAAACAGGAGAGTAGATTCCCTCCTCTGTAAGGCCTGACCAAAGCTCTCCTCTGATCGTTGCTTCCTCTGCCAACGTCCCATCCTCTGAATGGCACGTACTACATCCAGAATCCTCTCCAGCTTGGAATACTGAAGGACTCATGGACTGGTCACTCAGATTGTCTACCGAAGAGACACTTCCCTTTACTGTGTGGGTAAGGGCACAATCTTCTTGTGGTGTTTTAGGCACAGAACCAGACACGGCTTTGCCCTCTTTCACAGACAAACTTTCAATCTTGCTGATGTCTCTCAGGCCTAGGGCAGCAGTCTGGACGTCAGTCAGTAAAGTTTCCCTTGGCTCCTCTTGGTCTTTCCTTTTTAAACCAACATCACCAGTTGCCAAGATCTCTTCGGTGGCAGCACGGATGGCCTCCTTGACTAAGCTATAACTGAGCTGCTCCACTTCCTTTTCGCTCTGGTTCTCAGGCAGACTAGGGAGTTCATGCGCTTTGGGGCAGACAGTCCTTGGAGGTTGTTGTACAGAAGAGGTGGCATCAGATTCAGGACAGGAGGGGTTGGTCTCGTCAGCTGTAATGTCTGAATGGCCTTTAGAAGCAAAACTGTCTTTTTCTGTCTCCGTTTCCAGCTTTTCGGCAACAAGTGCAGATGCCTGAACCTCTGAAACCTCCCCTTCTGGTTCTGGGCGATCTCCTTTCAGAGGCTGTAGAGTTGGAGAGGTAGCAGTGGTGATGGCTGGTGAGTTTCCAGGCAGGATAGGCAACTTATCTAAGGCAGGGCTGCTAACGTGAGAGCAATCTGAAAACTCTAGGTTCAAATTCTGGTCACTGGAATCACTAGAACTCAAAGAACCCTCTTGTTCTTGCTTCTCCAGAGGGTGCAAATGGTGATGCGGCTTCAAATCCTGTGATGTCCTACTCACATCTGTAGCAGCTTCTTGCTCCACCAAGCCCTCCTTCAGGCTCTGCATGTTGGCAATTGAGGCAGTTTCCTCTTTCTTGACCTGATATACAAGGTTCCTCCTCCTTCTTCTGACGGTGTACCAGCACCAGCCGAGCAGAGCCAGTGCTGAGAGAGACACGAGGGGCCTGAGAGGTAGAGGCAGCATTTTCTAGGTAAAGATGCCACTTACACCTGTCAAGACAGTGGGGGAGAGAGAGCAGAGAGAACTGTCAAGCGCATCTGAGCAGGTCACCTTACCTGGCTTCCATGGAGCAGGACTGAAAGGTGAGAAGCATGAATGATGGGTCAGGTGTAAGGTTGGGGAGAGAGAGAGGTGTAAAAGCAACACTGCTGTAACACAAGGTGGAGACTCCGTCGGCACATTCGGAGCAAAGCCATTATCAGGCAGAAGGAGGGTTATCTGATAACAGTCTATGGATATCAGGTAACACACGGTGTCCCTCTACAGGAGTTAACATGAGAACAGGATCAAGCAAGCAGCAGGAACGTACAGTTGTGAGAAGGTGTTTGTGAACCTTCTGGAATCATCTAACCATCTGCACCCATTCACGTCATATCAGCAATAAAGACACCTCAAGACTCTTTTAAAGAGCAAACAGTACATTAATATTGAACAGAATATAGAATAAATACTAAAGATATTCTTACCTGCCAAATACATGAACCCACCAACAAACGTGGCTAGAGTAGCCTGAATTTATACTCCAGTAAATGTATTGCTACTTAGGAGAAACCTTCCCAAAAAAGTAGAAGTATAAAAGTAGTAGGTCAAAAACTACTTAAATACTGGGTTTAAAAAAAAGATGTCTTTCCTCACAAGTATACTTGGGTAGAAGTACAAGTATTATCATCTAAAAGTACAAATCCATCGTAAGTTTTAAGTTTTATTCGAACAGTAAATGTAACTCATCACTATTCATGTCTATTAATCAGCCAATGAAGGAATTACTTCACAGTAAATATGGAAATTTTTTTTTAAAGAATTTACAGTGGGCCCCAAAAAGTTCATTGGGTTAAGAAATGTGTCGACCCAACTAGCATTTATTTTAAACAGACCATGCCAAGACTGCATTTTTGGGAGGAGGGGGTCCTTCAAAAGGCAGTCATTTTGAGGCAATTTCTTTGCAGACCTCTTCAAGTTTGCATCCAAAACCCAACAATGTACACAAGCTCACCGTCATCATTGTAAGAAAAACAGCCCCAGACTCCCCCGCCTCGGTGCTTTACAGTGGCCTCAGTGCAGTGTAGAGTTCTTCACACAGAGTCTACAATCAGTTTAATCGTGTGCTACAAATGTTAAACATTTTACAACGTAACAAAAACTTCACTAAAGTTCATCAGGCTATTATGGCTAGACACCAACAGCGTCCAAATACTTTTTGGGGGCCACTGTATGAGCTACAAGCTGAATCAATGGCAGCATATGTGTATGCCAACACCTCTGCAGGCCTGTGCCTGTGTGGCCTTTCATCAGGCCAGAGATACCATCCCAACCTGGATGAAAGCCTACATTTGTTAGAGTTATAAAAAGAATGATATGAAGGTCTTTCCACAGGCACATCAGAGGCATGGAAATAAAGCTCGGACTGTCCTTTGGTCCACAGGGACACGGAGGATTTTACAAGCTACTGACTTCGCCCTTCAAAACCTGGCACACTGACAGCAGTACTTGGCCATGGCTTTTCCTGTCAGGATGGACCAGCAGCAGCAGTGATTTAAGATAGTGTCCTTTCAGAAAAGTGAACAGAATTAAGACACCAGAAGTTTGACAAATGCAGGGAAAAGATATGAGTATCAAAAAAAGGTCAGAAGGTTGTTCAGAACTCAAGCTTTTCCTTAAAGGGGAACATCACTGATTATTCAAAATTTCGGCATAATTAAAGGGATGATGTTAACAAAATCATTGAGTGGTTTGGTATGAAATGCTCCATTTAAGAGAAAATTACCAGAAACATTCACAGTGGTGGTGACAGGAACCAGACTTATGAAGAATTTAATGCCTCTATATGCTCCCTCACAGAAAGTTATTACATTCAATTGTTATCAACACACTGCCTTATGTCTGAAACACTGTTTTATGATAATTTGTGGTACAAACTTTGGACTAAAATGTATTTTAACCAACTTATTTGAATATTTTCATAGTGGAGGGGAAACATGGAGGGTTCTAAGGCAAAACAGTCTGCAATAAAAAAAAGGGATCTTTTTAAATTTATGACTATTTTACCATCGTCAACATCACATATAAAAACTTAGAAAGTACATGTAGATTCACTGGTGGTTTTGGATAAGAAATAAAATGGCTATATATATATATATATATATATATATATATATATATATATATATATATATATATATATATATGTGTGTGTGTGTTAGTGTTAGACATTGTGTAAAGAAATCAGTCTAAGTTTCTCTATAAACGAACCATTTCACGTCAAACCACTCTGAATGAATCTCAACCACTGAATTGTTCAGACATTTTTGGAGATTCGGTGGAATTGCCCTTCAAGATACTGTCCTTTCAGGAAAGTGAACAGAACACAGACTATAGAAGGTATCTGAGTCTAAAAGAGGTCAGAAGGTTGTTCTCCAGCTTTTCCTCAATTGAGTTCTCCACTAATTGTTTCTTCTAAGTTACCAGCTAAGCGACTTTAACGACCCATAAAGCACAAATAAATATAAAACATGGAATATAACATTCCTGTCAGCTGTGGCTAGCAGAGCTAGCTTCAGGATAAACGAGGCTGAAGTCAGTTTCCTACTCGGCAGCTTGTTGTTTAACTTTTACCGTTCCACCTTAAATACAGCACCTAACTGCCACACCATTTAAGGTGGAACGGGAAAATTCGAACAAGCTGTCGAATAGCAAGCGAACTTCAGCCTCATTCAAAATGAGAGCCTCACTTTTCACAGGATACGAGAAAAACAACAAAAAACCCCACTTTCCTACACAAACGAACTAAAATCTTCGCTAAGCTGAAGAACAAACTTTGTTTTGTGAGAAATACGAGTGAAAACACAACCTGAGAGCCGATAAATGGAGTTAATGCTCACCTTTGTGGTGGAGAAAGTCAAGTTTCGGACGTTACGAAGTGCTCGTGAAGCCCTCAGACTGTTCCTCGCGCTCTGGAGCCCCAGGTGCGCGCCATCAGTCTTTACTTATTAGAGATGAAGACCGCAGCTCCTGTTCAGCGCCCAAACTGACCAAATGACCTCAGAACTGGGAGGGATGTTAGTCATGTTAAGCTTTAACCACCACTCTCACTGTGAACTATCACTAAAAGTGACTTAAACGCAAAATATTTTCATAATTAAAGGCGCAAAGGGAAATTCCACCGAATTTCTGCCTAATTCAGTGGTTGAGATGTAAACAGTCATTCAGAGTGGTTTGGTGTGAAATGGTGGTGAATGGAACCAGACGTCCAATGCCACTAATAGCTCCCTCACATAAAGGTATTACATAAAACACTGTCTGATACCTAAAACACTGTTTTTCAATAGTTTTGAGGGAAAGTTTTGCTCCTAAAACTTATTTTTTTATCCATTCCTTGCGGGGTGGTACGTGTAGGGCGTTCGAAGGCAAAATAGTCCCCAAAGAAAACTTATTTTTTAGACTTGCCACTAGTTTTCTATTATCAATGTTACATATAAAATGTAGAAAATGGTTTTGGATAGTAAAATGGCTATATTTGCATTGTAGACATCACAACTCTGGGTTCCTTTCACCACCATTTCTTTTTGGTCAGTGTATCTGGCACTTCGCCTGAACAGAGTTCATTTTAAGCCTCAAAGTTCTTTAAAAATGTACTTTCATTTTTGCCGTTTTGACGAAGTATTAATCGAAGTAAGTGCTTAAGCTTCAAAAAATGTTATCTTCCCACCTCAGGCTGTCAAATCAGACACTACATGAGCTGTTTTTCTGAAATGTACAGCATTTTTTGCAACCCAGTTACCAATGTTTAGGAGGATGTGTAAATGTCATTTAAAAGCCTGTGTCAACTGAGTTCATTATTATCTAGCAAGAAATACATACATTCATGAAATGCTTCAGAACCTTACAAATAAATAATAAAATTCCAAAGGTTTCGTGTTTTCAGTATTTTATTTATATATTTCTTTAAAGCCTTTAGAGTTTTTTCTCTCTAAACAAAAATAGTGCATTTTTTTCTTGTATTAGTAATTTTAACTGCTGACTCTCATTACTAAATTGACACTTCTGGTAACATAAACTACTGAATTACATGTTTTATTTTCACCAAAAATGACTGAATAACAGGGTTGAAGCCAGTAACAGTGCTGAACACAGAGATAATATCCCCCATTAAGCTGATATTAATGCAGTTAAGAACATAAAATGTACAAGAGAGCAGAGGAGACAGCTGAAAACTTTTTTTTCATTAAAATGTTTGTTTCAGGCCATTTTTATTTAAAAATTAATTGAAGGTTAAAAAAATAGGTAACAGGGTTGGGAATTTAGGCTAAAATAAGCAGCATTCAGGGGTGGTTGGCTTGTCCTAATCAGTTTATTATGCGTAAATTAAGAAAATAAAAATTGAATTTAGTTATTCCGCAGAAAACAACAAGATGATACAAATTTCTGTATATATCATAATATTTTGGGGTTTTTTTTTTCTGTTTTTGGTAGCACTGTCGCCTCACAGCAAGAAGGGCCTGGGTTCGATTCCTGTCTGGGCAACAGGGTCCTTTCTGTGTGGAGTTCCCCGTGTCTGCGTGGGTTTCCTTCCACAGTCCAAAGACATGCAGTCAGGCCAATTAGAGATGTTAAATTGCCCCTCGGTGTGTGTAAATGGGCATGTCTGTCTGTCTGCCCTGCGATGGACTGGTGGCCTGTCCAGGTGTTTCCTGCCTTCTGCCTAATGACCACTGGGATAGGTTCAAGACCCCCCATAAACCAGGAGGATAAGCGGATAAGAGGACAAGAATAGGTAATATGTGTATGTGTGTTCCATTTTTTCTTTCAGGGTTGTTCATAAGGGAAAAATTATTCTTTGAACATTAATTGCTCGGATGTGAACCCAATAACACCATAATTATGGCGTTACGTAAAGATTTTAATGAATATATTTCAAAGAGAAGTTAAGGTGGGACACCCCAAAATCACCATATTAAAGGTGGATACACACATTTTATGTGTTTTTGTGATCCTTCAAGTGCTAATTTTAATAATTTTATTTTACGTTGAAGTACAGATCACTTCACCTTTCACAGAAATTAAAAACAAGTCACTTTTTGCTTTTAAAAAGATAACAGGACATAAATTGAACTCTGCTCATGGCGCCGTCTGAGTTGGCAAGTTTTTCTACAATTAATCATTTCACGTCAAACCATTTTGAATGACTTGCGCTCTTAAAAAGGATTCTTCTTTGGTAAAGGCAGTTGTACTATGCAGAGCCATTTCATACATAAATGGTTCCTTGCATGGTGATGTGGTTCTTCAGATTGATGGAGAATGTGTTGTACATGGATCTATATAGCACCAAAAGGGGTTCGAGCTTGACATCATAACAGCAGAACCCTTTTTGGTGCTATATAGAAACATATACACATTCTCTAACAATCTGAAGAACCATTTCATGCTTAAACGGTTCCTTGCATGATGAAATGGTTTGTGAAGAACTCATGTTTTTTAATAGAACCATTGCCTTTACTAAAGAGCCCTTGTGGAAAACCTTTGTTAAGAGTGTACATCTCAACAACTGAAACATGCAGAAATTAAAAAAAAGAACTGGACAGTAGATCCATTTCATGGTACCCAACCCCTGTCATTTAGCCAGAGCCGGTTTATGAGGAGGCTGGCCACTTCCTATTTCCCCCGTTATATCAAAAACAGGACTACGAAACAGCAGAGGGCGCCTGCGAGCGAGTCCATAATGAATGTGAGTTAATGGACTGCTAAAAACAAACAAAAAAAAGTTAAAATAGTTTCTAATCACTTGTCTAGAACTTTCCTTTCATTTAAGAAAGTAGAAAAATGTATTTCACTAAAAAAGCAAAGAAGGCGAGCAGAGCAGCTCATTGGCTGTTCGCGCTCACTGACGTCATGAACGTACATGAGGCGCTGTTTTAAAGTATTATAACTCCAGTTTAAAAGCTCTTAAAAATATAACAGCAGCGTTAAGATGTTTTATGCTGCTCTGTGTTTGGGAAGTCCATGTATTGTTTTACATTAAAAACGTTTAAGCATTTATAAACTATGATTTTGCTAAAAACGCTCCATATTAACCCATTCATTTTGGACTCGCTCAATAGCGCCCTCTAGGGTTTGAGAGACCCGGAAGACATTACAGAGCAGTAATTCTCCTCACTACGAGTTCTCTGATTTAGCGCTCTCAGAATAAACTAAACTTCATGTTCTTGCACTCTGTCAGTGTTCAGACTGAGCTCTTTACTGACCTCTACTGTTTACGCTGAGACCCTTCAGCTCCTTCACATCTGCTGAGGCCCACTCAAATCTGGCCAGTTTATTGAGGTTGTGTTTTCTGGCAAATGTTCACAATCCTCACCACTGTAACATCCTTATATTTAACCTTTTTAAACTTAAACTTTCTACTTTGTGAGAAAATGACAGAACATTTATTAAAACATTAAAATCTATTAAATATGTTAAAATGATCTTTACTGATCTCAAGTGAGGTAAAATACATGAATAGGTGTACTGTACTCTGCTTAAGTATTTTTTTGTTCTGTACTTTGAGTGAAATTGAATACTTGTTTGTACTATTTTAAAATTTCATTTCTAAGAAGTAAAAAAATACTTTTTACTCATTCAGACCTACAAAGTGCTTATTACAAATCCCAAAGGCCATGAAGTTCCAATCCAATTCATATGTGTAAAATGGACCTGGCCTCAGCTCTGCTGAGTCTGTGTGAGGATCAATACTGCCCATCAGCCACTGCACCACACAAAGTGGACTTAATGCCACCAGTTGAAACATTTACCTTTTCTACCCTTGAGTACGTTTAACTATATGACTTTCACTCAGGTGTATTTTAGCTCTATATGTTCCTTTATAATAACGATTTTTGATAAAGGACTCACACTTTCACTTATATAGTTCCTCTCTAATTTCTCCATCCCCGCTGATCTATATGGAAAAGCTGTGCTGCTTCAGCTTCTTCACAAAGTGCATCCCACCTTGAACTGGGCTTCTGATTATTATGTAAGCCCACATTACAGAAACGCTAATCTCCTTGAGCTTTTTTCACAGAACTATGGAAGATCATTCTCGCCAACTAGAGGAAAAAATAGCCTTTTGTCCTTTCTACTTCTCTTTTTGTGGTATGTAAAAATAACGACTATCTTAAAATAATTGCAAGACAAATTATTTTCCCAAAAATCTGACTTAGTATATCAAAATAATGATTTTTTTTCTCAAAATACTGACATAAAAATTTAACTTCTCAAAATTTTTACCTAGTATCTTGACTTTTTAACTTTAAATCTCAGAAATAATGACTTACTATGTCAAAGACATTCAATTTCAAGGGAATAAATTATTTTGGGATAGTGAGGCACTACTGAGAAAGTGTCTTTTTTGAAATTAAGTTATTTCAGGTTATCTATATGAAAATAATTGATTATTTTGAGAAACCAAATTAAAAATGTTGAGAAAATAATTATTTTACTAAGCATAATTTTGAGATACCAAGCCCCAATTTCAAGAAAACAAATTTACAAAATCACTCATTTAATGTAGCGTGCCATTACGTCAAAATTTTTAAACACTGCCGCCAGAAACAGAGATGCAGGGGCAGGAATTGGGCTTCCCTGCAAAACTGACCCACTGATCATGTGTACAAAATCCACTGAAGCTGTACATTCCCATGTATCAAACACAAAGCATGCGGGCCACATCAGTCCTACCTGGTCTGCAAAAGTATTATAATTTTCTATTAATATTAGCCCGTTTCACAACGTGCTGCACTACAGTCCCCAGCATGCACTGCAACGTTATGTGAGCTCTGACTCTCCTACCCCAACAACAGTCTATGGGACAGCATTTACACCTCAATTCTACACAATCCTACACAATTCCATACCAGTCTTATCACCACACACACTAACTGCATTTCAGCTGCAGTTCAACCAATATAAACACCCAACGTCAGCTCAGCAGCTCAGAAACTGTCTAGTTTAAGTAAATAGGTAGGTTTAAAAGACTGAGCTCCTGGGGTCATTTATATTTTGAATATTTCAAGTGTCCATGTAATATTTAATGTGTGTCTATATTTTTTGTTTTTGCATATTTTGAGTAAACAGTTTGGGTTCTAGCACAACATTAAATATTAAATAAACAATAAAAAAATATTTAAAAAATAAAAACAAAAACAAAAATTTTTTCTTTAGTGGACAGATTTGAAGAGATTTTTTTAATATGGCCCTTTTACTGGATAAGCTTGACACCCTTGCTGTACATTATGAATGAATGTCCCAATAATCTGCAGTAATCCGACCACAGCGCACAAACTGGACAGATTTTACTTTATTAGTGTAATGTGTAAATGTGAAATCAGATGGTAACAGGAATTTATTATACAATGGGGTTTAGAGTACACAGTTGTCTAAGATCTTCAGTTTTTTAAACCATCTGTTTATCCTCAACGCTGAACGACGTTAATGCGAACGTGAACATGATGGATGGCTTCATTACCAACACAACAATAATTCATAGTTTGTTGTACATGTACAGCAATTAACTGCTTTACAAAAAGCAAAATAATACAATATATCATCACATGTATTTACAGTGTAGTAAATATACCTTTTCATTTTTTTTTTACACAAAATTATTTACAGATGTGAAGCTGACTGCGTAAAAAATGAGGGGAAAAACAAAAAACAAAAATGTTCAGAAATCTCAGTTTTGCATAACCTCGGCGGATGAGAATTTAACTAGTTAGGGTGTAGTGAAAGTCTAGGTCTAAACACACACACACACACACACACACACACACACACACACACACAACCTCCCACGATGAGGGCAAGTCATTGTCTGCTCACTTCACAAGTCTCCATGGTCAAGCCGAGGCTTGGCATCTAATTCATGATGGTGTTTTTTTTTAAAACACCCTCTGATTATTCTTCTAGCCAAGTTTACCATTTTCATCCAAACCTGAACATTAAAGCTTCATGAACATAATTGGCCCTGATGTAAATACAGTCGTACGGAAAAATATATAAATTAAGGTAAGAGGATTATAAGGCCAAGTAATGACAACAGCATTTACCTCACTGTGGATTAGTAAAACAGAACGTAATCTAACATATACAAAAAAGTGAATGCATGCACAAAAAAGCCCTAATACGGAATAAATCTCCAATGTTCTCTAATCTCTCGCAATGCCACCTCATTAAGATTAACCTTTACCCATGTCGAGTTTCATTCTTATCTGGAAAAAAGCTCTGGCAGCCCAGGATTGCAGATGCTATCCTGTGGTAGAGGGGGACAGTTCATGAGTTCACATCACAATATCCTTGAAAGGCTTAATATTTGAATGTTGGAAGGGTAAAATTCCCAAATTCCCTCCCCAAACTCACAGCAAACCAAGGCTTGGTCCACAAACCACCATTCGAGAAGCCAACAACCATCCCTGCTAAAGCATTTCTGTTCAGCGACTATTCCAGAACGTGATGCAGAAGGAGTGGACATCATAAACTTGGACTATATTGCACTTCCTAAACTTTGGTTCAGTTCCAATCTCTTCTGGTTCTCATGATCAGTTAAAATCACCAGAAATTCCCTTCGCATTCCTCTATTAGAGGAACTTTCTAATTCAAGTATAGATTCACTGTAAACAATCACAGGGCTTGAGTTCCTCACTAATGGACCACAGAACCTACTCAGTACCATAATGCTTGAGTGCTACAGGCCGCACTTTCAATACTGGTCGTCTGAGTGAGACAACCCCGACACAAACTACTTCTTTTGATCTTTCTGATTGTTTAGGTGGCGAATAGTTGTCTCCTAATACTGAATCAGTCTTCAAGTCCTCCCTTTCTAATCCAAAGACATTCAAATGATTGACATCATGTGATTGACCGCTTATTTTTGAAGTTAAATGTGTTTGAACAAATGTTTTGTAGGCAACAGGGCTGCGTATCGCTCTAAATTCTTCCACACTAATACACTGTAAACTGAAAGTGAGTGTGGTTTAAACCACAAATGATTCCGAGGTGCTGGAATTGGGTATATTACGCAATGTAATTTGGACAGCCAATCAGGAGTCCAGATTTTGGACCATGCTTATTATCTTATGCTGACAAGCCTGACTACTTAGGGGTGAAAGCTGATACTGTAAGGCAGGAGGTTTCGATACTCTATGGCATGGGTGCCCAATCCTGGTCGTGGAGATCTACCACCCTCCAACCCTGATCTAGGTAATCAAGGCCATCAGGGGCATCTGACTATATGAGCCGGGTGCGTTGGATCTGAACGCTCCAGGGTGGCAGATCTCCAGGACTAGGATTGAGCACCTCTGCACTATGGTAATTCGGTCATGACCATAACCTGCACTATGGTAATTCGGTCAGTACCACAGCAGTCACCCAGCCCTAGTAGGCAGTGCAACAGATATCAATGGACAAGAATTAAACAGGGATTCCACCAACTCTCCAATTTCTGCAAAGCTCAATCAGATTTAAACAGTCATTCAGGGTGGTTTAACGTGAAAAGTGCCAGTGTAGGGAAACATACAGAGTCAGAATTGCTCACAGTGGTGGTAATAGGAACCAGATGTCTGCAGAGTTTAACTCCTGTAAAAATTACATTACGGGAAGTAAAATGTATGCACTGCCTGATGCCTGACCAAAGAAAACAAGTTCCTCACTAATGGACCACAAAAACAAAAACAAAAAAAAAGTATGTTTTCTGATTTACCACTATTTTACTGTTCAGTATTACATATGAAAACTCTGAACACTCGTGTAGGTTTACTGGTCATTTTGGACAGCTAGGAAAATGAATACATTTGTGTGAAAAATGAAAACATTTGTGCTATAGTAGCCATTCCTTTCACCATTGCTGTGAAGAAATCTGAGCTGACAAGTTTCTCTACAATTAATCATTTCACATCAAACCACTCTGAAGGGCTTTGTTTACATCTCAACGATGAAACTATGCAGAAATTTTGAGAAAATCAGTGGAATTCAAAATATGTTCAAAACAGTCTGAAGAGCTTTTGTCGACCTAAAATTTAACGTTAAAGTAATTTGTTACACGGTTCCAAGAGAGTGGAAAGCCGTCTGGGGTGGAGAGTAGACTCTACCACTTCATTGCTTGTACTGAACTCGACTGTGATCAGACAGGCCAGTATTTTGTCATCGAGACTCCAATTCGTATATACACTTGTCTGCAAAAGTTTGAGTACCCCTGGTCAAATGGCGCTTTGTTGATTTTCTAAGTGCAAATAAGCTAGCATATCATCGCTGTCCAGAGAAAAATGATCTCCAAAACAGTAGCTTTAGGAGAGGGCAAAAACGTTCCTTACTTTCAAAGTAAGTTAATGGAAAGAGATTTTATCCTAAGCACTTTTGGAGCATTTCTAACGGTCCGATCATCATGAAATTTTCACACAATGTAAAGGACGACTGCTGAGCTCAAATGATGCAAAAAAGTAAAAATCACAAAAAATGGAGATGATAATAAAAGCGATATCATCCCCTACAGGGAACAAACTTCAATCCATTTATTTGCTGAGTTTAACATGTTTGGAATATTTATGTTTCATTATTTTTTCCCAATATGTTAAATTCAGTAAAAAAGCACTAATTGTGCATTACGCTGCGCAGAAGTGTGTTCTCTTATTTACACTATGAACATTGACCAGGGGTGCCAAAATTTTTGCATTTTACTATATATTGGTGAAACTAGGTGGAAAAAGAAACTGCCTTATGGTTTATGTTTGACAAAATGCAGAGGGGGCTTCTTTCACTAGTGAAAGTCAGTATTTAGTGCAGCACCCCAGACATTTTTAAAACAGTATTGTGGGACAGAATGGAGCTCTAACTAGTCAACAGTAGCCCTGTGAGAACTTATAAAATCAGAGCTCTTTAATAAGCAGCGTGCACGCTTAGTACTATGGACGCTCACTGTTAATTTAGAGTTCTGAGACTCTTCGGGAATGGTGCCATTCTTGTAGCATCAATGCTACCTGTATATAAATGCATATGTAGTTAAAAATTCTTCTACTGACAGAAAAGGCACAATGGACAAGACATCTGTGTGAACATCTGACTTTGTGGATGAAAGTTGAGAAAAACCTTGAGAACCAATTATCCTTCAATATCACTAATAAGGTACCAGTTCATCCTAAAAGCTTGAGCATGCTTGAAATCCTGTGGAGCCTCATACTCAGAAACAGTACTGTAACACTGGGGGAATCAGTACCATCTGCAGACGCAAAGAGCATCAGAATCATTACAGCCCCTGACCTACAGGACTGCCTCCAGAAGGGGCTTTAATAGGGACGATCAATATTGCAGCTGACTCGGTGCTGGACAACATTGATGCGTCATCAGAGCTGGAAATATACAAACTGTAATAGAAAAGCTATTAGAGACGAACTCTTTTCCTTTGAAGCCACTTTGATTAAGTGTCTGTGTTAAAAACTATGCATTTGTTCCCGATGACCTGCCTTGTCTCTCAACCTGTCAACAAAAAAAAACCTTACTGCTTTAACAACAGAACATACAAGGAAATAAAAACGAGCCAAGATTAAAACAAAAGCACACGGAATCAACAGAAATGAACAAAACAAAAATGAAAAAGTGACTTGGTTAATACTTTCTTCTTTTAGATCAATAAAAAATAGAAAGAAAGTAAATTAATGCTTATAAAACATCCCAATGCGCTCCGGACATCTAAACAAACAAACAAACAAACAAACTCATGAATTTCAGTGCTTCCTTTCGACAACTGGTTTGGAATAAAAAATAAAGAGCTGTGGTTTTCGATAAAAAGATTCGATCAGAAGTTCCGTTATAAACACAGAAGGTCATGTTGGACTCTGTCCCGTCGGCACACCGAACACTGACTGGTTCACAAACGCAAGAGAACTTGTCCTTATTGATCGTCAGGCAAGTATGGCTGAAAAGGGAGATGAGGCAGAAAACGAACGAGAAAATAAAGGAAAACAGGAACGAGGAGAAGTAAGGAGTGTGGGAGTAGAAATGCAGCATGGCGTGAAGCGGCGCTGGGAGGCCGCCAGGCGGCGCCGTCTTCATACGATCTTCTTGATGCTGGGCCTCTTGAAGCTGCCGGCGCTGCGCTGCTTTTGGACCTGGCTGGCCGAGCCGTGGCGCGTGCGGCCGCTGGTGGACAGAGCTGTGGTCGGGGACAACTCCACGTTCTCCTTATCGATGCCTGCAGAACGAAGGAACAGCATGTGCTTAGACCAGCACTCATAACAAGAAAACTACTACTGATACCAAGACATTATGGATATGAAATATTATATACTGCCCATCAAAAGTCTGGGGACACCTTGCCACCTTATTTTTTTTTCCCAATAATTTTTTTGCTGTTTTTTTTTTTTATTTAACAAATAACAGCTCTGCTCTAATTCTTTGGCTATACTTAGTTTCAGTTAGTTTCAAAAAGACACATTCATCCAAGTGTCTTCCTTGAAATGAAGAGCAGGTTTTGCTGAAATAATGATTTGGTTTTCTTTTGCAACCTAAATTCTTTTGGCCCAAAAGTGGTTTAAACACCTGAAAGGTGCTGCAAACCAACAAACAAAATTTTGTATTAAAATTGTATTTTGTATTATGACATTTTGAATAATATTAATATCTAATACATTTTTTGAGACTGACTTATGAAAATGAAAGCGAGTTTAGTACTGTTTTATATTGATCTTAGGTTGGTGCTGTCTATCTCATGGGGGCAGTTTGGGTGGTCTACCAAGTCTTTCAGGTGGTTGTTAGGAGTTCCATTGTCTCTGGAAACTCCTGTTTGTTGTTGTGCTTTTTTTTTGGAACATAATGTCAGTGGGATCTTTGCGAGCAGGTTTGGGAACCAGCCTGGTTCGATCCCCTGAGCTGACAGTATATGACTGAGGTGCCCTTGAGCAAGGCGCCTAACCCTAACTGCTCCCTGGGTGCTGTATGTAGGGCTGCCCACTGCTCTGGGCAAGTGCTCTGGGCACTGCCCCTAGTGTATGTGGGTGTTTCACTGCACTGATGGGTTAAATGTGGAGGTGAATTTCTTCCTTGTGGGGAAATTCTCAGCTTTTGTTGGTTGCATCTGGGAGCTACTGGTTGGTTTTAAGATTGGAAGAGTGGAGGAGTTAAAATGGCAGTAGGTGCACAGAAGTAAAGAGTGGACAAATTAAACACTGACAGTTTTGGTTCTATAGTTAGTGCTGAGGACGTCTGTGTAATATTCTGTTAAATATATGTTTCCTGCTTTTTTTCTAACATTGAAAAATGGATAACCTGTAGTTAATGACCATTTTGACCAGAAAGGGTGGTTCTGGGTCTGTATACTGGGGTACATTTGGATAAGTTTGTTGTGAGGACAGAAGATACCAGCAGGTGGGGCACTAGTTACACTTTCAGGATTTCACTGTGCACATAATCTCACTGTTGCATCACATATATACGATGAGTTGGTTTGTCAAAAGACAGAAATGTTTATATTTCATCTGAGCGCAGTTCTTATGGGGAGCACTTGCAGTCCAAAAACACAGCAGCCTGGAGTGACAGTGCAGTGGAGGGGGGGGGGCGATGACTGATTGGAGTACCTGGCCGGCCGAGAGGCGAGGCGAATACAGCAGACTTACAGCAAGGCAGAGAGGCTTCGCATATGCACATACACAGACAGAGAGAGAGTGGGGTGGGGGGACAGGAGTGCGGGGTCATGGCAACCAGGAAACAGAAAGCAACATGATTAACAGAAAAAAAACACAATAAGAAATATAAACCAGAATGAATCAATAAAACAAATTATAAGAAAAATAAAGTAATTCTAAGCAAAGAGTAGAAAATAATGTATGCAAAACTAATACACTAAGAGCCAGTTTACACCTTGCATTAAACTGTGTTTTCGGTGATCAGATCAAGTTCAGATTTCACTCGACTGCATGAAAAGCCAGGTGTAAACACCACCAGGATGCATTGAGCTTGTTTGCATCTACTTTCCTGTCCGGATAGTATCTGGATGTACTTTGGCTGGATTCTGTTTATACTTTTCAGTAAAACGCGTCACCAGTGTGACCTGATAAGACCCGATTTTACTTTCCCGCGTAAAAGAAGCACATCAACACACATCATCTCTGTTTTTCTTTTTTCTCTCGTTATGATAGCAGTTGATAAGTTTGGCTTGGACACCTTCAGCCTGGAGCACAAGAAGGCTATGTTCACATTACCAGGCTGAAGTGGCACAAATCTGATTTTTTGCCCTAATGTGACTCAGATCTGATGTTTTCAGGGCTGTGTGGACACAAATCTGATCCTTTCAACTCCGACTTGAGCCACTTCCATATGTGGTCCTAGATCGGATACGTATCCGATTTGTGGCCATGTGACCTTAATGTGACGCTCAGATCAGAGTTCACGTGTTTTTTTGTTTCACTGCACATGTGCCATCATTCAGTGTTACCATGGCAGCAGCGCTGAACAGAAGATAAAGCCTGTAAAAAAATCTCACCTTTTTCACCTTCGTCTCACTCTAATAATGAACAGCTGAGAGATGAACAGAGTTCATTATCCTCACAAAAAGGCTCGTTCTGCTCGTTAGGTTGTTTTTTGCTGTTGTTACTGATTAGGATGTGATGTGACTTGAGTCACTTACTTAATGAGTGTGAACCACAATGTTAAAGAGGTCAGATCTGAGCAAAAAATTGGATTTGAGCAATGATGCATATGCTCCATCTTTTCATTTCCTCCTTTATCCTTTCACCTGCTTGTCATCACTCAGCAGACGCATTTCTGCTCATGCAATTGTGTTCAGAAAACAAAATTACGTTTACAATTCTGTTTTCACAAGATCTGTCTCTGACCACCTCTGAATGTGGTTCGAGTGATGTGATCGTAATCCACTCATAAATGCACCCTGGGGATGTTTACACCTGGCTTTTCATGTGATCAAGTGAAATCCAAACGAGATCTGATCACCGAAAACAGGGACATCGAGACCAGATTTTTATCAGATCACTCAAATCACATTCGGAGGTGGTCAAAGACGAATCTTGACCACATTTAACACAAGTGTACAGGGTAAGCGTTTTGTTACCCGCATACAATTACGTAAGCGGACATGCATCTGCTGAGCGCTGAGGATAATCGATGAAACGAGGCTGGAGCTCCCAAAAGCTAAATATCTTCTTGTGCTCTGGGCCGATGAAAGTGTCACAGCCAAGCTTGTCGACTGGAATCAGGGAAAAAAGTAAAACAAAAATAAAATGGAAACAACCTATGTGCTTTTTATGCAAGAACGTAAAATCTGATCTTATCTGGCCACAATGGGGATGCATTTTAGTGAAAAGTGTAAATGTAATCTGGCCAAAGTTGATCCAGATACGATCTGAAAGCAAAACACATGTAAGGTGTAAACAGGCTCTAATCACCTTAACAGTAAATTATCTTTAACTTAAGAATAACTATGAATTGGTTTCACAGACCAGGGTTTTGGCCTAGTCCTAGACCGCACTTTCCTTTCATATGAGAATCTCCATTCAAAATGCCGTGAAGTCCAGGACTAGGCTTAATCCCTGTCTGGAAAAGTGACCCTAACTATCAAAACAAAACAGACATAAGCAAATAAATAAAAAAAACAATAAAAAAACATTACCACTACGTGGAAACTATAGGCTGAGGCTTTAGTTGCCCGCTGCAGCTCTATAGTTTTTATTTGTACTTGGCATTTTCTGGGGCACCACTTCCGAAGACCTCAACTGGGGCAAAGTTGGGGATCGTCTATAAACTACAGCACGCAGAGCACAACAGGAATGGTGTGATCGCAGCAAATGGATGAAAGGAAGAAAATGAATGAACATGAAAAGAACAGACAATGACTCTTCTAATACTATAGGATGTAAGACACTAATGACTTGGGTGAAACACAAAATGAGCAAATGTCATCAATGTTGACCATTAAGAATACGGCCTAATGGGGCAATTATACAGGCCACTGATATTCAGTAGCAAGGAACCAATATGGGAAACTGTGAGCTGATGCAGATATTTATTTTTCAAGTACATTTCTGCAGATGCTGAAACGTACTTGTAGCAAACTGTGACGACATCCAGCTGGATTAGCATTATGAGGAAATATTTATTTCTGTAGGGTTGCAAGTGTAGTAAAATAAAGTAGATATTTCAGCCCAGATTCACCTAAACATTCTGCTCTTCAAGAGCAGACAATAATACCAATATAATACTGATATAACGAGTCTCTAATATTCAGAAATGCCAGACAGGACGTGTAGTTTAATGGGCTGCTACCAGAAGAAATCAGAACAGCTGGAAAGGAAAAGAGAAACATTTCCACACAGAGAAAGAAATGGAGTCAGTGGATAATGACAGATTCAACACTCTGAGGAGAACTTAGTCACTACAGCCACTTATACTGTTTGGAGAGAGGAGAGCATGCAAGAAAGGGAGGAAAAGAGAAAGAGCTAGAGAAAAGAGAGAGAGAGAGAGAGAGATAGGGATTGAGAAAGCAAGAGAGAGTGAGAGAAATAGATGGAGAAAACTAGAGCGTGAGCCACATGGAGCGAGAGAGAATGACTGAGTGGGAGAGAGAGAAAGAGAAAGAAAGAGAGAGAGAGAGAGAGAGAGAGAGAGAGAGAGAGAGAGAGAGAGAGAGAGAGAGAGAAAAGGAGAAGCACCTCCAAATAAGAATGGGTTTTTACTATGCTCTGTTATTCAGAAAGAAGAAGTGAGAGAGTGAGAGAGAGAGAGTGAGAGAGAGAGAGAGAGAGAGAGAGAGAGAGAGAACTCTCTCTAGCCATATAAATATTTAATGTGTGTAGAGTGGTGGGGATTAGCTGCTGCTATGTAGTGTAGTTTGCACTGACCTGGTGAGTGCTGAGAGGTTGCCAGTGAGGTCATAGAGTTGGAGAGATTGAGGTTGGCGGTGATGCTGAGCTGGCTCTGGGTGGGAGGGGGGTAGGGGGAGGTGGGCGTCCGCAGGGCCTCCTCGCTGCCCTCTTCATCAATACCTGGCAGATAGGTGTCAATCAGAGCGTCCAGAAACTTCACGATCAGCTCGGCGTAGTCTGGAATCTGGGTTTGCTGTGGGCAGCAGAGAGCAGAGAGCTGCGCTTTAGTACAAGCACACAAGCACAAGCTCTCAAGACAAACTGCTGACAAATACATCTGCAAAAATGGCAAATAAATAAATAAACAAGTGAGTAAGCAAGTGAAATTAGGGCTCACTACCTTTGAAAAAGGACCAGCAAATCTCCAGAGTCCATTAAAGCCGAAACCTGTGGGCGAGAGAGAAAGTGGAAAGGGGGACGGTGAGGAAGTAGAATGTCTCAATATGCAAGAAAGCAAGTGAGAGAGGACTCACTCACGCAATGTCTGCCTTGCTCACCCAAAGTCTCACTCCTTAAACAAGCTTCCTAATAAATGACCCTCTCACTCCTTCACTGTCTCACTCATTCATGTATTAGTGTATTAACTCTAATCTAAAGCTTCTAAATAATCTAAGTAAGACTTCTTATTCAGGAGCTACTACGAATTATTCAGACTATAGTACATGACTTCTATGAAACAAACACAGTGGGGTCCAAAGGTCTGAGAGTACAATGAAAAATCTGAGTTATTTTTCTTTTAAACCTGGAAATAAACAACATTTTTTAAAACAAAGAAAAGTTGTAATTCAAATTTTTGCACTATTTCTTGGTCACTGTTCAAATTTAGGCAAAATCTGTAAAACTGACCATGTTGAGGCCTTGCTTTCACTGAAACACGTTCACTTTTCACTTGAATTGTTATGCTGGTAATATAACTTGTTATTAAACCTTTGGTTTTAAATTAGACAAGAATGTAAAACAGAAACATTTTCATTTTTGGCCTCATTGTTTTTAAGTCATGTAGTTACTGGAGTGAGCAACACACACACGTAATTAGAAACTGTGAAAACGCTGCTGCTTTCCTTCACCGCGCTGCTCGGCACAGGTTAAAACAGTTTAAGCAGCATCAGATAAAGGGCCATCTCAGTCGTGTGAAACCATTTCATGGTTTCTATTGGTGACATTATACAAGAGGTTTGCAATTACTTTTCGCACCGAGTATCAAAAGAGGATGCAATATTCAAGAACTTCTCCATTACACGCTTCAAACCATTTGAAATCACGGCATCCCGTTCAATACGCAGAATACAGCAAGACAGCAGGGGCAGAAAAGAAAGTTCCTGCTAGCATGCTAATGCTATCTGTGGCCTCAGTTTTAGAAAATGATGAAAAGTCCAAAGTTTATCTAAAATAACTGAATTATTTGCCTCGGATGACCTCTGTTGGCGATGACATACATTCATAATGTGTAAGTGTTTATATTTTTGTCAGTTTCATTCTATTGAAATGTCTGACTTTTCCTCATTAATGTTTTTTCATATTTCATTTTCAAAAGCAAAACGGAAAAAAAAGATTTCAGCCAAGTATTTCCATTTGCTTAAAAAGAACCCATGAATTCCCTTTCAGCTGGGTAAATTCAAACTGGCACAGAATTTCATTGACTGGTTAAGTTAAACCGAGCAGTCGATCATAATGAGGCAGAGGTCAAGTAAAGTTTATACTTCTTGCACTTACTATGACAGGCGGAGCCGGTACAACTGTATTCTATCTATTTCCGCATAACAAAATCAGCAGGAGAATAAATTTAAAACACAGAACTTAAAGTTTCAAGTTAACTACAAGTTAAAGTTAAGAACACAATTTTTTTCCTTCTACTTTAACATTTTGGGAATACACGGTTTTGGGCTAACATCCCAGTGACTGTACGTGAGGGATATATCTGGATTTATACAGTAAATAGTGAAAAAAAAACAAACAAACAAAAAAAACAACAACAAAAAACAAGAAACAAAAAAACAAAAAAAGAACAAAACAACTTAAAAGTACCTTCAAAACAAACTCCGACATGGCCTTCAGCAAAGCAGCTAGGCGCAAAAACATCCTAAATGTGATGAACAGCTGTATTTACTCTGTAGGTAGGAGGGCTGGTACTGCGGCGGTGACTCCTCATGATAGACCACACTCTGAACAATGCCGTGTACAGGGTTCAGCAGGTCTGGATCCTGACACATCGACAGCAGCGTGTTGATCTTGGAGTCCAGCAGATTGTGGCTGGAGAAAAGAAGAGATACATATATATATATATACTATATATATATATATATACATATATATGTATATATATATATATATATATATATATATATATATATATATATATAAAACGTACCAAATAAAACTGAATAATGGCAAAACCTAAGCTTTCATGACGCACTAAATAATTTCCTGAAGAGTCATAACTAAGCCAAGCAGCTGTGAGGTCAGACATTTACATCTCTGTGTGTTTTTTTTGTGTTTATATTTCAGTGCATGTGTTGAGGGGAGGAAGTGGTGCTTTGACTTACACGACAGGAAAGACCTTTGGAAAGACAACGCTGGCCTCAGCTAAGAATTCATAGAGGATTCTCTGGTCAAATTCATCAGTCGTGTTTTTGACCTGCGTGGCCTGCAACACAAAGGAATAAAAGGCTTTCAGAGATCTGCATCTAAACATGCCCGGTCTTTATGCCCAGGTAACTCAACTGAAAAGCAAGCGGAACCACTTTAAAGCATTCTGACAAGAGGAACAGAGACCGTAATAAGAAAAACAACAGGAAACATATACATTAGAGGGACAAATACACCAAGGAATAACGAAAGAGGAACTGAGAGAAGGATGAACGAGTAAGAGTGACAGAAAAAGAAACCGACAGAGACAGCTGGAGAAAGTGAGAGAGAACAATAACAGAAACGGCCCTCACCAATACGGTCAGAAGAAGAGCCTGGATCTTTGGGTCAGTGAGGACTTCTTCGTCCAGCAGCACGTTGGACTCAGAGACGGAAACCTTCCTCAGGTGGTGGTGCTGTGAGATTCTTTGGGTCTCTGCAAAACAAGCATTAGGAGAAATTCTATTCAGGACAGCCAACGAGATCTTCAGTGGTCCTGCTGCCTTGCAGCCCGTGGCCTCTAATCTCGGTAACAAGTCCAAGAGGACAGACCGCACCAGACGAGCGGGGTATCTGTAGAGCCACTTCTAAGGCGGTCCTTCTCGCCTTCAGACAAACATGTAGCTCCAAAAACTCTTCAAACCTCTGCTTCACTCTCATAGCTTGCCTATGACTGAGCTCAACTCTGCCTGTGTGTACTCTCTGATGCTTTCCATGATCAAAAAACTGAAAACTAGCCAAACTGCCTCAACATAATACATATAAACAACTAACTGAAAAAAGCTCAAACAAAATCTAAAATTTCTCTAATTTGTTACACTCTTATCATCTATAAACGTCAGGGCGAGAGCAGATTCTATCATAGCAACAAACACCGCACAAGCAGCTGGGCTTCAGCCTGACTATTAATACATCGTTGCTGGGTATAGTGCGAACAGCAGTGACGCACATATTATGGTTAATAATGAAATGTAAATATTATTGATTTTCTTGGTTGATTCTGAAAATGAGTATTTGAGAACTAGTATACAACGTATTCAAAGCCTGTAAAGCCGGGACTGTTTCAACCAACCCTAAAAGCAATCAATCAATCAATAGAACAGAATACAAGTATCTGCTGGACTTGACTGGACAACCATCAAAGAACACTATGAGCAGATAATCACTTATATACACTCACTGAGTACTTCCTTAGGTACACCTACTTTGTATCTACAATCTGTCCATTTTACCAGCTCCACGTACCGTATAGGTGCATTGTGGAGTACTACAATTACAGACTGTAGTCCATCTGTGCCTTTGCATAATTTGTTATCCCACCTTCATCAACGGTAGGAACCCCCACATGACCACCACAGAGCAGGTATTATTTGGGTGGTGGATCATTCTTAGCACTGCAGTGACACTGACGTGGTGGTGGCATGTTAGTGTGTGCTGTCAGATCAGACACAGCAGCGCTGCTGGAGTTTTTAAACACCTCAGTGTCACTGCTGGACTCAGAATAGACCACCAACCGAAAATATCTAGACCGCAGCATCCTGTGGGCAGCGTCCTGTGACCACTGATGAGGGACTAGAGGATGACCAACACAAACTGTGCAGCAACAGATAAGCTACTGTCTCTGACTTCACATTAACAAGATGGACCAACAAGGTAGGAGTGTCTAATAGAGTGGACAGTGAGTGGACACAGTGATTTAAAACTCCAGCAGCACTGCTGTGTCTGATCCACTCGTACCAGCACAACACACACTAACACACCACCACCATGTCAGCGTTACTGCAGTGCTGAGAATGATCCACCACCCAAATAGTACCTGCTCTGTGAGGGTCCTATTTGGGTCCTGACCACTGAAGAACAGGGTAAAGGTGGGATAACAAATTATGCAACCAAACAGATGGACAGTCTGTAATTGTAGAGCTTAAAAGTGCAACTATCTGGTAAGTGGAGCTGATAAAATGGACAATGAGTGTAGAAACAAGGTAGGTGTACCTAATAAAGTGCTCAGTGAGTGTATATCAAATAAAGTATTTGACGTTCAGATTTGACGGATATTTGTAATCCTCTACAAATAAATGCTATGTTCCTCTGTAATGCTAATTAAGGTAGATTTTGTTCCAATTTCTACATTTAATAAATGTTCATGTATAGACACTGGCAGATATATAAAAATCCTTTCCCAGTTCCCATATCAAAGAATGATTAAAATTAAAGACAATTACTAGGGCAACTCAAACATCATCAACGAAGACTCAAATGCAGTCAAATGTCTTACCGATTTCATAATCGTTCTCAGCCACTCTCCTCATTTTGGGAGGTGTAGTGATGCCAGACTCCATCTCTGGTCTCTTTGGTGCTTTAGTGTCTGATATCAAGTGGTCAAAGCTCTTCCTCGTGCCTGAAAGACACACATTGGAAAACAATATTTTTAGTACTCCAAGAATGCCACACATGAACAAACTGGTGAGTCATTGTGTTTGCAGTAGATTGAATCATTGCTGCACGTTGTGGTGAGCTGTTCCAGCTGTACCAGTTGAGAAATCTAAATTTACTTGAAGAAGCATTTGGCACAAAACTCACATTTTTAACTCTGCCTTGGTGCATAACTTTACTAAGTTAATATACTCAGAGCTTTCAAAGGACATTCTGCTCTTGAAATCTCAAAATGCTGGACAGAGATGATACCACAGTGAATGTTAGTGCCAGATCCAAGGCTGGTTATGATTATGAAGTATCAGTCTTACCGAGGAGCTTTTTGGTGTTAGCCTGCGATGGCTGGCCCATGTCCAGACTCATAGACTTTCGCGTCCGGGGGCTGATCTGCCCCACGGTGGGGTAGTGGGCAACCAGATATCGCTCTGAAACTTTAGGAGATGCCCACGGCTGGTTCTCTCGCAAAGTTCTGCAATGAGAAGCACATGTTCTGAGTGATGGAGGAAAAAGATGACCATTTATTCTGATGGTCCATTTTACATGTTTTCACCTAGGGCTCATATTTCTACATTATGATGTTTTTGTGGATTCATGTACCAAAACCAGTCATATTTCATTTTACAAAACCATTTTCCAACCTCGCTTTATCCCTCAGAACTGAATAGGATATTTTTGTTACTGTACCTTCAAAGCTAGTGTATATAAATTAGCTATGTTCTGGTTGGCTGGCCTGTGTTGTGCCTTATTCAAAAAAAATAAATAAATAAAAACAAGCTGGGCTGAAATGCTGTTAATAATTTTGGCAATCAATGGGCGGAGCTAAACTGCAGTAGGGTGACCAGGTGGATATAAGTTAATGAGTTGTGTTTCATGACATCACAAAAACAAATTCAACACTGCAAAAAATGGTACCTTGTCAAGTGAAATGATCTTAAATCTAGTCGATATTTATAATAGTTCCCATTTTGAGATGGTCGTGCACTTATTATAAGATTATTTACCTTATTTCTAGGTATTATTTACTTATTTTAGGTCATTTTACTAAGTAAAATTATCTCACTATATTGGCAGGTAGGTTTGCTTGTTTTAAGACGTGCTTGAAACCAGCTAAATTATCTGCCAATAATTTTCTTTAAAAAAAATCAATCAATTAAACAAGTAAACAATGTCTAGAAATAAGGAAAATCATCCTAAATTAAGCTTACAAAAATATCTAGAGAAGAAATTAGATTTATTGACTATAGTTAGATGATTTTACTTGACAAGATACCATTTTTTGCAGTGAAAAAGGCCTTTTTTGCAGCTTAGTTTTTTATATCTGGACTCCACAGACCAGTGAAAGGTACATTCTGAAACTTTAACAATGGAAATTTGGTTTGCCATGATATGCACCATTTAACGTTCAACTGGATACCTATTAAATGAACTTTTCTCTAACCATAAACTCAACACTCACTCTAACCATAACCTTAACCTCAACCCAAAACCTCACCCTGATCTTATTGTGTAGAAAGTGATCTGAGTCTGTGAAAAGTTTGTCAACAGTTTTAAAGTATCTATAAATAAGTAACAGTGGCTCATTAAAATAAAGTGTGAGTACAAAGAGCACCGAGTTTGATATTAATATGGCTAAAACTATATTTAATACTGATTCAATCGAAAGCTTTTGCAAGGCCGCACCTGCAGCTGGGGTCGTTGTTGTGCACAGAGTACGTGTCCATGGGAACATTCTCCATGCTGACATCAGAGAGGAGGAGGGACTTCCTATGTTTGAGGCTGCAGCGGCTGCGAACTTCCTCTGACACAGTGAGCAAGGCTGTGATGACCCCAGACAACAAACAAACAAAATGAACACAAGGGCCAGAAAGTGAGAGACACAGCCTAGCTGCATGTTTCCAACCTTACAACTGTTTAACAGGCCTGCAGATTGGCCTCTACTCACCAGCTAAATAGGCTACGCTCTGCGTGTTCACCTCAAATTTGTCACAGTTGAGGTGCTTGCCCACCAGGCCGAGAAGCGTGTGCAAGATGCGTACCGTCCTTGCAACGGTGGTTGGGGAGGGGTGTCTGTAGCCTGAGCACAGCATAGACAAACTTGGTTACAGTGACAGCACAGAGTATCAAGAAAAAAGTCAGAGACCACCTTTTATATATTTAATTTAGATTCAAAACAGCCACAGTATAAGTTACTTATTTTTCAGCGGCAGGTAAAAAATAGAAACTTACAGAGAGGCCTAAAAAATAAATATAAGGTCAGGATTTTCATTATTTAGTGTGTCCACTCTATGCCTTTAGAAGAGCTTTTAGTTTTTCACAGATATCTGCAGGGATATTCTTCCACAGCTACAAAGTTCAGTCTTAGAAGTTGGTTGCACTTTCTGCTTTTCATGTTTACACACCCTAAACACATTCAGTGATGTTGAGGTCTGGACTCTTCTTAGTAGCTTATGGGTGGCAAGAGTAGCTTATTTGTTTTAACAGTTACACATCCTTTCAGACTCAGTGTTGTCTTCTCACAGTGGAAGGGTGGCTGTGGATGTTTTCAGATCTGAATCAAGAGTGGAGCTCGATTTTCTCCTCTCTCTCAAAGATGAAAGCTTTGAGTGCTGTTTATCTGACGGGGACAGTTTTGCTGTCCATCAGGTCTTGCAGGTGGTTGTTAGGAGTCTCATCTTCTCTATATCTTTTAATAATTTTCAATCACTGTTTTTCCACTTCTTTCCCTTTAACTTTCCTATATCTAATGATTTTGACTTGAAAGTACAATAAATGAAGGGTGGTCTCTAACTTTCGCATTGCTCTGTATGTTCTCAGATTTATCAAGTATCTTCAGTTAAACGAACATTGCTAGCTATATTACTCTTGTAGCTCCAGTGCAATACCAGTGACTGACTACATTTGAGCTGAGCAGAAAAACTTTTTACATTTTATTTTTCCGCCAAAGTATTCCTTTCAAGTGAACAAAGTCTCAGAAATCAGTTATAAGAGTACAACATTTCTAAAGAGTTATCCATTTCACCTTTAAGCAGATGCCCCACAAGAGCGAAGTTGAAGTTGGAGTTGAAGTTGAGACCTACAAAGTGGTCCATCTGCTTGCAGTGCCACTCCAAAGGCTTACGAATCTCCATAAACACCTCCTCAGGACTCTGCAGCAAGAAGAGGGGAAAAAGACCTTTACACTGTCCACCATGACAAATAAAACAAATAACACAACAAAGCAGCCCAAGATTACGGATGCCAGGTTGTGTGGGAACACACTGTCTGTGCTTTAATAAAACAAACCATGTATGAATGTGTCAAGTACCTTGTCATTGAAGACATGCATGCTATCCAGCGTGTGTAGGTTCTGCTCTAGCAGGGCTGTGCCTGCAGAGTACAGGTTCACCTCATCCAACTGCAGCACAGCTATAGCCACCCAGAACAGAGCTTTGTGCATCGGTGAGTCCTGTCGAAGTTAACAGATGATTCAGGTCTCAGAACTAGAGTACAAACTCTGCTACAAACCATCTACAATTTCTGCTTTTCATCATTCATAAACATTAACAATCATGAATATTAACACTATCCGAAATATGGAACAGCAACTTTTTCAGAATGAAAAGTTTTGAAAATGCTGAGTTCTTCAGTTTATATGATTTCAATTAAAGAGTTTGATAAAACACATCATATTAAAAAATATGAGCATATAAGCTAAAGACAGCAAAGAAAGTAGGTCTAAACTGCATCACAAAATGAAATAAATACATATATTTTAGACAACGAAAAGAAATGTAAGGCTTTTTCTCTGAGCTGGCACAATGACGGACCTCATAAGGCAGTAGCCGAGCTGAGTTGGGGTTTCTTACCTTGGCCAGCAGGGGTTGTAGTTTGGTGAGAGCAATGACTGTAGCCTCGATCAGCACCTGGCTGTTGTAATTCTCCGGCCCCTTTAAACAGCTCTCCAGGCCCTGTCCACAAGGCAGAAGGTTCATTAACCACAGATAAACAACACAGTGGTCAGTCAAGCATGGAGAGTTTGAATTACCCAAACAGGGCAGACGCACTGCAGTCATTACTACGGTAATGACCAGCTACTACTGTTCTCTAGTCAGCGGTAATTGGCCTGGGGGGAGCCCTTTTTAAACACATTACAAAGGTTCATTAGATCTTAAACAGGACTATATGAGGACATATGTTAAAGTACAAGATATTAAAGCTATTTATGCCAGTTATACAACAGTTAGTTAGAACCTTGCAAAGTGAGGCATGGTACAACAGCCAATACCATCTGGATGGATTTTTTTTTTTGCACTGGACAGATACGTATACATGCATCCAGATATTTCTGAGAACAGTTTTTCTCTTTGTGTTTTGGCCTCCTGTCCACACAAAAATAGTGTCTTCGGTCTCAGAAAACATTTTTGAGAATGCAATATTTTTGCGTTTTTATGTGGACGGGCAAAAATATAACTTTTTGAAAGCGCTTGCACCATTAACTTGCACATGCCTGTTCCTGTTTTCATTTACTGAGCTTACAGAACTCTGTCTGAAACAATTCTGAGGACTATGTTGTTTCTGTCTGCTCACCAATTAGGGGTCGAGAACATGTTTATAACTGGATTTAGCTTCACTGCTCTGCTCAGCTCTTTTACAGAGGGTGTGAACTTAACTGCATACACTTAAAAACACCTCAGTGATTCTAAAGCTGTGTGACTTGTGGATCATTAAGTAAAGCCAGAGTGGGAAAAAAAAATCCTATCTCCACAATTAAAATGGCATGATAAGCTAGAAAAATAACCTTTCTGCCTCAGCAAAGTGGTAGGGTTTCTTTCACTTTTTAAGCTTTTATTTTTTGGCAGGAATCACACTTTGAATCTGTGCGAACTGCTAAATTATGGAAGTCTGATGGACTGCAAGTCAAAGCTTCATTTTGCTTCAGCTTCATGGCACGCAATTATCTTCTTGAGGCATTTGACATCAGATTCATGAGATATTATCAACTCTACTGGGCCGACATGCTCGTGTGCATTTTTTTTTCTTCTTTTTGCATTCTTGTGTTGACTGAGAGGTTTTATAAAACGTGGGCAAAGATTATTTTTGAAAACAGAAGAAAAAAATATATGTTTAATTATCGCTCCACATTATTCATTCGTGACTGCGGAATGCAAATTCTTGTGCAATGTAAACAAATCTTTTGTCATAATAAATAATAAAATAATAAATAATAATAAAGAAATTGTGGAATAATCACAATAATACACAAGAGTAAGTGCTAAACCATGAAACACAGGCATTGGTGTGCTGATATTGTGTATTATATATTACATTTCCCATATTTCTCATTGGCATTTACGCTGACAAGATGCATTCAGAGAAATTCCTTGTATTTGGTAGAATAAAAAAAAAGATTGTGATTGTGTTTGGGGTGAAAAGGTAGGTACAAACCCGGTCAATGCTGAGCAGGGGAATTGCTTTGCTGAGGATGCGGATAATCTGCTTGATCTGACCATGGGTCACTCGCTTGCTGATGCAGCCAAACACCACTAAAGCCCTGGGCTGGAGCGATGGATTGTACTGGAATGCAAACCTATGGACAAAAAAAATAGACAAATATGCACCAAAAATGACTTGGATACTATTACATAACCCTCTCCATCACTTCTCTGAGAAGTATAGCATGTGTGAACAATTCTGGCTACTTCACTATTTTGAGTGGTCGGCCTTGCAGTCAGATAATTGAAGCTCTCTTAATGTGGGGTTACGCAGCTGGTGCATCCTACTTACTTCTGGGCTAGTTCTGTCCACTGGTCGAGCCATTTACACCCTGGAATGTCCCTCATGCAGGCCTGGGAGAGGAGACATAAAACCGTTTAAACCCTCTCACACTATGGTTTTATGGTTTTTCCACATAGTGGAAACAATACTATCAATTCAAACACAAGACTATAAAGAATATATATGCTGAGCTTTTGTGTGAAAAACCCCTGTGTGTTCTTCAAAGCTGTAAAAATAACCTCGCAGCGTCTGTATGAGGAACTGCTGAAGGTTCTGTTTAGACTAAAAATACGACCACCATTTCCTTTCGCACCCTGAACACACAGAACGTCTCACCAGCATGTAATTTATCACATTAGACTTCAAGATACAGAAGCAGTTATTCTGATCTTATCATCTATTTTCATAAGCATTTTCACACAGGACACAGTGACGATATTCTCAATCTACATTTCTGGTTTTGATCATGAACATTAACAAGCATGGATATTAATGAGGACACCACCCAAAATACATAATAAAACTAGGGAATTATAGAACTGCAGAACTGTATAGCTCTCTTATTGTTCTTATTTCTTAGCAGTTCAGTTCTTTATGAAAGGTGTATTTGTGTTATTCTCATCATAAAAGGTTTGGATGCATTTTCCCTGTTTATTATTTTGTCATCATTATTATTTCATCCAGGACTTTTTAATGTGTTCAAATTTACCAGGTCAGCCTATATTGCTGAGGTATAGAATGTGTTGTTATCATGAAACCATTACCCACTAATTATTGGTGCTCTATTGGCATGAATTTTACTAATACTGATAGGTCTGTCTGGCTGATATTATGGATGCACTGATGCATCGTGTGGGCCCTTACAGAGGGAACACATGGAGGCAAAAACTTTATCTTTTGGACGACAAACCTGATAACTGAATTACTGAACCACAGAGGCCATGAAGACAGTTTCACAAGACATTTAAGGAAATTAGGTTTGTTATTCATACTTCCATGATCTCCAGCAGGGCTTCAGTGACCGTCTCCAGGGAGGAGAGGGCGAAGGTCTCTCGTTCGTACGAGCCTGGGGAGAAGGAGCGGTCCCTGTAGCTGGAGCGGAAGGCTATGACGGCCGCAGATTTGACTTTACTGATGCCGAACAGCAGGTAGAACTTGGGCAGAGAGAATTCAGTCAGACTCAGCCTCAACACCTGCTTGGTCTCCTCTGAAAAGAAGAAAAAGGACTTTAAAACACTGGCAGGCGGCTCTACTGCCCTCTCACTTCACTGTCTCATAAACAGGCACCCTCTGTTATTGTAGCAGAAGCTAAAAAAGGAAAGAAAACTACGATGATACGCTATGAACTGTAAATCTATTTATCTAAGCCAATACAGTAGTTTCCTTTAGTGGTGATATTAACGTATCAAAGGTATAAAGTTATTCTTGATGTAACTTTAATGTTATTTCAACCTAAATCACAAACAAAATATAAAGTTATTATGAATCATCCACATTCAGTTTACATTCTGTATCAACAAATTTCTCGAATTCAAATCATGTCATGACATATCTTATCTACTACTTACAACACAAATGTGGTAACCACAAGTTTGGAATTTGTACCGTCATTAGAATTTGTCGGTTTCAATGAGCGAGAACAAAACAATGTAAAATTACAGTATGCAAATTAAAAGTTATCGGTGACGTCTGCGGCTTGTAAGGCTTAACATGGAGCCACCCATTCAAACACTACCACAAAGCGTATTTCCCCCATTTGAACCAGCACATTCATGCTTTTTGTCCTCTCTTAACGAGAAGCACGGACTTGCCCATTTTCCATTAGTTTTTCTGAGGTCACATTAAAGCTTTCAGCTTATTTGCTGCTGTGCTCTAGTTGTGTTTCAAGTTTCCCCAAAGATACTTGCTAAACCTGGAAGTAAGAGCATTTGTTTTGCTCTACAAAAAGTATGCGAGTTAGGCATTATCATTTAACCATTTTCTGATTCAAATGTTTGCATTTTTAAAGGAACAAAATTCAAATATCTCAACAAGAAAATATTTTACATTATGAATACAATATAAACCATGAAAGGCAAACCATAACAGCCATTTGTTGTTTGCAGCTATGACTATAACTAAGACTATGGTTTTGCATTAGTATCGGACAACTATGACTATGTAATATATCTTTAGATGTGTGATTTAACATACTCTACTAACCTACAGAAAGACTCACACTGTACAAACTATCACTTTGTTTAAAATGTTTCCATGTACAGCACTAAGTGTAAGTTAGAGACTTAACATTTACTTAACTTCCAGTCAAAACGGCAATTATGAAAGTCGTTTACGAAATTAAGAAATTTGTTTAAAAAAGTAGAAAATATATCTGACTAAAAATTACACAGAACTCTCAACAACTGAATATATCAGAATTTTCAGTTTTTAATGTGTCTGCTCTTTGCTTTTATTACAGCTCTCTCTTTTTAGGAGACTTGCTTTTAGAGACTTACTATTTCAGAGAAATCTGCAGGGATATTTCTCCACACCTCCAAAGTTCAGTCTTAGAAGTTCATGTTGAGGTCTGGACAGTTTGATTTGCCATTTTTTTTCCCTCTATTTGCGTTTCTCAGTAAGAGCTTCTTCACAGCTACACATCCTTTCAGACTCACAGCGCTGAGTTGTCTTTTCACAGTGGAAGGATGGACTGTGGATGTTTTCAGATCTGAGTCAAGATGTGGCTGCAGTTTTTTACTCCAAACAAGCTGAAGCACACCTGATCCTACTTGTTTAATCAGTTGGTCTTAGCCTTCAAACATTTCATCAGGTGACCTCCTGCTTTGTTGGAGTGAAAACCTGCAGCCACACTGGCCCTCTGCGGATAAGACTGGACACTCCTGATTTGAATGCTGTTTATCTGATGGGCCAGTTTTGGTAGCCTACCAGGTCTGGCAGGTGGTTGTTAGGAGCCCCATTTTCTTTACTTCTTTTAATCATCGTTTTCACCCTTTTAAGATGACCTTAAATCTAATCCCTTCAGAAATATCTCCTGAAAAACAAAAAACTTGTAGTTGTGATTTGTTTTAAGTTTTTAACCTTAAATGAAGGATGCTCTCTGAATTTTGCTCACTATTCTATAGCTCTGCTTGGATGCCACCATTTTCCTTAACTTGAGACACAGTATCCGCTGTTTATGCTCTAATATTCTTAGGGCTTCTATTTTGCACAGTGAGACAAAAACTTCATTCTGTTCATTCCAAACTACATGTAAGTGAGAAAGTAAGATGACTCAAAAAATCTATGTTCAAATAACTAGAATGCACGTGTGTGTGCTGCTCTCACCGCTGAAGTTGAGCTGCGAGCACGTGCAGAGCGAGTGGATGATGTTGATGACCAGGCCGTGGGTGGAGGCGCGGAGGGACAACGGCCCAGTGGCCACCAGCAGGGTGACCACGTGGAAGAGGTAGGGCAGGTGGGCCGCTACGTCCAGCGAGTTGTTGAAGGAGAGCATGAGCATGTAGCGGGCCAGGATGGCGATGTCGTCCCACATGAGATGCTGCTCCAGCGTGGGCGTGGGAGAAAGGCACGTCTTGTCGATGATCTTGCACATGCGGATAATGACCTGCAGGGCACGGCAACAACTGAAAATTAGGGGTGCCCCATTCACACGTGGTCAGAGTCCTTTGATACTGAGATGCTAATCCCATCAGTTTTAGTCTTGTCCAATTCCACCAGGTAGCTAGGTCTCCCTGTATCACATGACGCTACCAAGATGAGGGTCGGAACTTGTTTCCTCCACTTCAATGCATCTTTTCTGACTCCCATATTTGGTTGGCATCACATTAAGTGATGAGGAGAGGAGGGACCATCCGACCCACCCAGAGTGAGCAAGGCCAATTATGCTTTCTTGGACTCGAAATAGTATCCAATTTAGGTAAAATATATGTTAGGTTGCCATTTACTTTAAAATTCCACAGTAAAGTCACTTCATGTTACTATGCGTACGGGACACGATAACTGACCAATTTTTGTTTTATAATATATATTTTGTTTTTAAATGGCCATTTTATGTTGTATTGAATGTGCTACTTTCCAGTGGTGTGGACTCAAGTTATATGACTCGGACTGGAGTCCGACTCGAGGCACGAATTTGATGACTTTAGACTCGACTCGAGAAAATCAAGAAAGACTTGGGACTCAACTTTGACTTCAACCCCAGGACTCAAGACTCGAACTGGAATGAATGCAAAGAGGCATCTGACTGCAGACGGGACTCTACACAGTCAGTTATTTTTCATGTGAACAGATTCATTTCCTGCCATAAATTGAATAAACATCGCCGTCAAATGTCTGCTACTGTGTTAATGCTCAGTTTATTTTATTTCGGAAAAGAAGCGAAGCATTAGAGTTCAAGTTCACCTCCGTAAGCTGGAAACAAGCGAAGGATCAACAGCATCAATGCTCCCTCAGCTCTTAAACTCCAGTCTTACTGCAGAAACTCACCTGACCTTTTCCCTCTCTCTGTCTGACCACATTTAACAGCTTCTGCAGGTAAAACAAGCGCAACATTCACCACGAGGCTGAAGCTGACTTTTTATTCGCAAGCTTCAAATTGGAATTTGCCGTTCCGCCATAAATGGTGCAGCAGTTATGTTCCGGTTCCTGACTGCTGCATTTAAGGTGGAACAGAAAATTCAAATAAGAAGCTGGCGAAAAAAGTCAACTTTAGCTTCGTACATTCATTTTATCTGTAAACTTTGTTCAGCTCAGGTTGGTCGTTTCTGGTTTCTGTTGTCATCTAAATTCAATTCAAACTAGCTGCTGTTTTTAATTGGCTGAGCTAGTTTTTATTTTAATCCAGTTCGCTCAATGTTCCCTAACATCGCTGCTAACATGCCGTCATCAAAAGGCTAAAGTACTGTTACCATTATTCAGTGTTATGGCCTTAAATTAGCTGAAGAATGCAGACTGACTTGTGACTTGAATTGAGACTCGACTATCTTGACTCTGGACTTGAGACTTACTTATAACTTGCAACATACAAACTGCTTGTTCACTTGTGAAAATGTGTCACACGTTAAAGGTTAATTCCTCTTATGTCACTTTCACAACACTGGCCACCGACCTAACAGGCATAACATTATGACCACCTCCTTGTTTCTACGCTCATTGTCCATTTTATCAGCTCCACTTACTATATAGGTGCACTTTGTAGTTCTACAGTTACAGACTGTAGTCCATCTGTTTCTCTGATACTTTGTTAGCCCCCTTTTACCCTGTTCTTCAGTGGTCAGGACCCCCATGGACCCTCACAGAGCAGGTACTATTTGGGTGGTGGATCATTCTCAGCACTGCAGTAACACTGACGTGGTGGTGATGTGTTAGTGTGTGTTGTGCTGGTGCAAGTGGATCAGACACAGCAGTGCTTCTATAGAGCCCAATGAAACAGCCTTAAAGGCTGCTCTAGAATTTAATTACACTTAACAGCATTGATGCCGGTGAACGGTAAGAGTGGATCAGGAAGCCTTAAACAAACAAACAAGCACACAAGAACAAAAAGAAAAACAACCCACAGGCCTGTATTACCCTATTAAGATTCATCATAAGCAGTGCTTTCTTTGTACTGGTGACAGTTACTGGGAGATTATACAAAGCCTGCCTTTGTCAGATGCAAGCAGCAGAGGGAGGAGCGAGTGTGCATGGAACAATTAAACATCTCAAACTGGTACAAAAATTACTATTAATATGTCTGTCATACCACCACCACCACAGACTGGTTATTACAGTAGCTGTGTACTAGCGTGACTGTGTCTCATGAGCTGATGAAGCATGAGCAGGACAGGAAGAGGAAATTAAGCCATTGCAGAAGGCTGCACCAAGTCCGGCTCTGCTCAGACAAAGCATCCTTTTCTGGCCTTCCGGCTCAAGCTTCTCTCCTGCTGGCACCACATCACATTGCCCTCACCTCACTTCTAACAAACCCCATACTCACACCAGAGAGAGAGAGAGAGAGCGTGAACAAACTAAAGACAAACACATATAAAGCAGAGGAAATACGAAGAATAAAAATAACCTGAAAGCCATCCTGGAATGACTCAGACGCCTGACCTAAATAAATTAATGGTCGGATGAGCTCACGCACGACAGCGGAAACGTAAATAAAGAAAAGGGCATCTGAAAGAAGGCAGATCAGCGCAGATTCTTTGTGTAACATGCTTAGTAAACCTGATCAGCATACAGTAGTATGCAGACACGTGAATGCCCCCACATCAAATTACATGTTCAGTTCTTTTTCTAAAAGTAAAAATAAATAAATTCAACTTAAATATGGCATTTCACAAATTTTAGTAAGCAGTTTCTTCGTACCTGCTTAGTTTAACAAAGTGAAATAGATAAATAAATAAATGTACCAAAACTTTTTTTTGGGTTATTATTATTGACCAAATAAACAGTAACTGTGCGTTTAAATGCGTGTTCACTGCAGAGGATATTTACATATTTTGTTAAAAGCAAACAAATTAACCTTTTAATTTGACTGGAGTGCCCAAACTTTTGCATACAAAGGCTGAATTGTTTGACCACTACTAATAGTTAAAAAACTTATTTTGTCAACACTTTTGCTTTTGGTCATATAACCATGGACACACAGGTGTCAGCCCCTACACAGAACACCCGTATAAACAAAAACAGGTTCCCCGCTTGCGAGTCCTACAATCTACGGTCCATACAAGGAACTTTCATATCTGGGTGTGTTAATACACAACTCAGCTGCTGTGTGGACTCAAGAGGGTGTGTATTTTACACTTCAACTGTGGCTCAGCCAATGAGATTTCAGAACTGTTACTACCTGTTTTACCATTTATATTTTGATGGGGGGCGTCCTTGACTTTGGGCTTGCCAGTTATGAATTAGTCACTGACTTATGATGGTCAGTTATTGGTCAAAGAATTTGCCAAAATTTCCATCTCTATTTATTACCCACTTGTTTTACATCACCTTATGCACTGTTATTTAGAGTGACTGGCTTGTATGTTCTAGTAACCTTGTGCTGGCCCAGAAATAAACTCACACCTGCCGCAGCTCATTGAATGAGTGTATATACGCACTTAGCCCATTGTGGGGACCAAATGAACCCAGGAGGATGAAAAGATCTTTTTGATGTTATGGGGACATTTATATTCAGATTTTATATTAAAAAAGCTTAAGAGTGGGTTAAGCTCAGAGTAAACTGGGAAACACTGCAACAAGCAAAGAACACAAATGTCTCTGTGTCTGTCTGGCCGTCCTGTCCGTCTGTCTGTCTCTCACCTTGCTAGACACCAGTTTGACGTTGCCAGAGGCGAGCGCCACAGCAGTGTCGGCCATCACCTCAGCCTTGATGGACCCAAGTCCTCCTGTAGCACTCGTCTTAATGAAACTGTCCAAGACGACGTCCAGCAGATCTGTGATCTATAATGGGAAGAGGAACACAAACAGCTTTTAACACATTTCCGTTTCATTGTGTTTAAGTGTAAACTCTGTTACTATGGAAGAAACCCTACTACATAACTCTGACATATCCAGATGTTATGTGCTGTTTTGTGTCATGAAAAATGATGTTCAGTAATATAACAGTGCCATGTTGCCGTTACCAATTACCAGTTAGACAGATGCCATAATGTTTCATGTGTACTGAAGTTATCTGTCAAGATATCCATCATTAATAAGAATGTCTTGACAATTAATGGTAATGGTAACAAGATATTATTATATTATTGGAGATTATCTGTCATGATAGCATAAAATAATTGCCATGACATGATTTAGGGTTTCAGTATTACCAAAATAATTTATCACAGACATAAACAAACAGTGATAAGTTATGACGCTATACCCACATGTCAAAAATGTGGCCTGCTTAAGTATTCAAATGAACAGGTGTCAAAACACCCTCAATGTCAAGTCACTACTGCTGGAATTTTTTACTCTTTAAATACCCCTCCGTCAGACAACTCTTCCTGTTTTATTAACAGTAATGATTTGCATCGTCTCATGAAAGTCCCTAAGCCCTGGGTACCCACCTAAATCATTATACTGTGAGACATTTGAGCTTTCTCTTAATGCAGATAAAACACTTGATGCCTTTCAACTGGTCCGTGGGGGTGCTCCAGACATTGTTATATAACAAATGGCATGCTAGCTAGTCTCTAAATCTAGCCACATTAGCATATTTGGGTTATACTGTCAATTGAAAGTTTTGGCTGATGTAATAAAATAATTCTTGGCTCAAAAGTATCACTGTGTAATAGCAAAAAAAAAAAAGGTGTTTTACAGCAAAATGTCTACTGGAACATTATGCAATCAATGCAAAACATATTTCGACAGAACAATGATGCCTCTTACTTGGCCGAGGCTGCCCCAAATCTTGGCCTGGATTGAGGGGTACATTTGTTTCTCGTTGATGGTCATGGTGATGAGCTTGTCGAGGATGGCGGTGACCCGCTGGCGCTTAGCGTCATCGTTGTGCTTGCAGAAGCGAACCAGATTGAGCAGCCAAGGAGTCATGTACTCCAGACACAGGTGCTTCAGCTCAATACCTGCGGACACAACATGGAGGCTGAAATCAGTACAGACTGACAGCATATCATCATTCACTATATGGCTAACAGTAGGAGAACACCTGACCATCACACATATATGAGCTTGTTGGACATCCCATTCCAAAACAATGGGCATTAATATGAAGTTGGCCCCCTGTTTGCAGCTATAACATTTTGGAGTGTGTCTGTGGGAGCAACTGTGAGGTCAGGCACTGACGTTGGACGAGAAGGCCTGGATTGCAATGACGCTCTTGCTTTATGCACAGCGGCACAGTCGTGCTGGAACAGGAAAGGGGCTTTCGACAAGCTGTTCCAACAAAGTTGGAAGCATTTTATTGTCTAAAATGGCTTTAAATGCTGCAGCATTAACACTACCCTTCACTGGAACTACTGGAACCATCAAACTTCACAGTTGGCACTATGCTTTTGTGTAGAGAGTGTTCTCCTGGATTCTGCCAAACCCAGATTCATCCATCAGACTGCCAGAGAATAAAGCATAATTCATCAGTCTAGAAAACACGTTTCCACTGCTCCAGTGGCTGCGTGCTTTACACCACTCCAGCCAACGTTTAGCATTGCGCATAGTGATCTTAGGCTTGTGTACAGCTGTTTGGTCATGGAAACCCATTTCATAAAGCTACTGATGCACAATTCAGGAATCTCACATGCTACGCACTCTTTGTGAGTTTGCGTATTGTACCACTGTATGGCTGAGCTGCTGTTGCTCTTAGATGCTTCATTTCATAATAACAGCAGTTACAGTTGACTGGTGCTGATCCAGCAGGGCAGACCTTTCACTGATATGTGGTAAAGGTGGCATCCTACAACAGTACCATGTTTCAAGTCAATGGGCTCTTCAGTATGACCTACTTTAAACACGTTAGCAACAGTTATGGATGAAACACCTGAACTCGACAATTAGTTAATAATTAATTTTGCATATGACTGTAGAACTCATATTGAATGGAGAAAGTCATTAATTAATGATCCAACAGCTGCCTAAGGAGTAAACAGAGGGTATTACGATGATGCATGATAAAGGAATAAAGAGAGGCACTGACTGGACTTGCTGAAGCCAGAGATGCACTCCTCTAGGAACTCCAGTGTGAGGTGGGGCTCGTTGGCTGCCAGCGTCTTGCTGATGGAGACGATGAAGAGGGTATTATTGGCTGGGATGCACAGGCCCGATGTCTCCAGGAGCTGGCCCTCAATCTTCAGGTTAAAGGTGCAGGTTAAGGCACACAGGAGATTATAAGCTGCAGACCTGCTCAGAGGAAAACGGGAAAATCAGTATCATGGAGCAAATCAACTTTATATGGCAACAATACAAAAAATACAAATAGGATCTTGGCAAGTTGAAGCATCTTCTTAACTGTAAGATATATTGAAATATACCTTACAGTTTTCATTATGAAGGTGTTGTAGGAATAATATAAGAATGTTTAATTTATTTCCAGACACTTTTGCTTATTTTAAATAATTTTATCAGCTCAAATTACCTTAATGCACTTGCAGATAATCTAAAAATAATATGTAAAATAAGTAAGATTAAAGTACTTTATGTTTTATATACATGTTCAGAAATAGGTGGAAAAATCCTATAATTTTCTACAACAGTCTTATAATGAAACATCTTAGATATACTGCCAAAATGTAAGATGCTTTAACTTGCCCTCAAACTCCCTATTTCACAGTGGATAAAGTGTATATATTTATTCAGTGATTATTGTCAGTTACCTCAGGCTGGGGTCAGAGCTGCCCAGGTTGAGGAGCGCGATGTTAAGCAGGGTGCCAGGCACATCTTTGGGCCTGATCTTGGTGTGCTGGGGGATGGAGTCGGGCTGAGAGAGCTCCCAGCGCGTGCGAATGTGAATGATGGAGTGCACAATGGCTTCGCACTCCTGGTGCATGAAGGTGAGGGGCGTGCCCTGGTTGGCGATGGTCAATGTGAACTGGTTCTCGTCCACCAGGCAGATCTCTTCGATTTCAGAGGCATAGTAGATGTCGTTGAGGAAGACCGACTGACCCAGCACTCGCGTGCGCTCCGCCGAGGTCACCTGGACGGCATTGGAGCCCACCTGAAGTGGTGTGAAGAGGAGGGAACAGCGGAAAGTGAATGCTATACTTCGTTATATATACTTGATTTGTTTCGCAATTTTCATTCACAAGTTTACCACTTAAAACCAAAAATACTTTTACAAGTTAATAATATTTAAAACTACTATGTGTAGGTTATTACTGTATATAAAACTGGTATGTAAACGATTAACCAATTAAGTGTTAAAACAAACAATTGATGAATTATATTGGTACAAAAATGTTATTTTAATTTCATTTAATTTCCCTTCACCCATCAGTATGACGTTCCACAATCCATGCAAGGAATGCTTTTTAACATCTTGGTGCATTAATACAGGATTCAGTTGTGTGCACCCTTAAAGTGTATTTTACAACAGATTTAAATGTGGCTCAGCCAATCAGATTTCAGAACCAGAGCTCTCTCTTTTATAATTGATCTCTTGATGGGTCATATCTTTGATTTTAGGCTTGCCGGTTAACGATTAATTGTTGACCAATGACGAGCATCTAGTGGCAACAGAAGTGGGCAAAATAAAATAAAAAAATAATAACACGACAAGTGATCCTAAACTTTTGAATGGTTGTGCACCTTTCTACTCCAATTAGCTTTTTTGTCACACTTTAGAGGCAATATACATATTAATTACATTGTTCATTACAATGAACTGACACCTCTGGACACGTCCACACACCTTGATGGACACTTTAGTGTCTTTGTGGGCCAGTTTGAGGGCATTGTGGAACACTTTGAGGTCCTCCTCCAAGCTGAGTGTGGCAGCGGGCAGTTTCTGCTGGTCCGGCTCTATGTATTCAGCCAGTCTGGCAGGAGAATCGATGAAAAGCAGCTTCTTACTGCCCTTGAGGCCGGTCAGCAGCCTCTCGTGGTACTTGGTGTACTCCCTCACCCATGTGTTGCAGTTGTAGATGTAGATGGCTGCTACGTTCTCGTAGGCAAAGCCCGGGAAGACAACAAACCATTTAGAAAGGAAGTCCGTCTTGAAACGGTTGCTGGGGCCTGCGTGGGTCAGATCCACTACTATCTCGTATGGTTTGGCATAGTAGGGCTTGAGGGTGAGAAGAACATGGTAGATAAGCAAGTCCCCATTTATCTGCCCTGTCTTGAACCTGAGGGGAAGAAAGGAGGACAATGGTTCAAACTGAAGCAAAGAAGAAGGCATAAGACGTCAGCTAACACAGCTTCAGAATGTGTTCAAAATGCAGTTTACCACTGCAGGTGTGGAAAGGGAGAAGTGAAGAAAGAGGAACATCTATGAGAGGGGTAAAACTTTGGTGCACAAAAGAAGAAATTCTGTAACCACCAACACCTAATACTGAAACTGACTGAGGCCTATTAATTATAATTTAATTAGATTACTGGTTTCTGACTTTTAGTAGAAATTTCTTCGAGTATTTCCCTTCTTATATATACACAACTTTTTTGTCGAGTAAAAACACTTTCCAATAAAATAAATAAATAGTAATCTTTTGCATGACCGTGTCTTGAAAGTAATGCCTGATGACATAGTCAGAAGACCAAAGAAAGGGTGCAATACAAGCCAAACTGCAGTTGCGTGCTGATTTAAATATATTTCCAATAAAACAACCACAGCAGAAGTGAAAAAGAGACAGGAAATGTGTCACTTGTGTGTGAATGTGTGCTGCCTGAGCCATATCTCCTCCACTCCATCGGTAGCTACATCATACCTCAC